GGAAAAGATGCCACCAACTTGCAGTAGTGCTGTTAACAGTCATCAGCAGTTGCTTGTTGTTTGTCGTGTATCCAGCTCACTGAGCAACCGTTCAAATGTAAGCCATGTCTTTGCTGGACGAACGTTGATTCTGTTTGCCATGGCCAGGATTGACTCACCTCTGCCCCCCATGTTTTTGTTATGCGCAGGCTCCGTCTGCCCAGGCGCATTTTTGGCGAGGCCGGACCCCTGTTCCCACCGTGTCAGCTCTGACTCAACGCTGCGCAGCTTCTTGCGGCCACAGACAAAGGCTCCGAACACACGGCGCAGGCCCACACGCTACCAAGCGGATGGATCAGTACCGTTTAAGCGCTGGGGCTGCAGCTCATTTTCTGTTTTTATGGGCCGCGATGCGGGAAAAACGCGAAATGCGTGTGTTCGCGTAGCTCTTTTGGTACGTGCGTTGGGAGGGTCGGGATGTGCCTTGAAGAGGCCCGGCCTAAATACCCTGCTGACGACGTTTGGGGCTCTGGCAGTGCAGTCACAGTTCGCTCCAGGGACCCAGGCCCGTTTTGACAACCGCACCCCTGCGCATAACAAAACTCCGTTGTCCAGAAAACAGCAGAAAAGGCCAGGCGCTACGGTCTTATTTGCAGCGCGCTACCTGTTGTTTCGGATGTTGCAGCTGTGGTGTCTGTAATGATGTTTGCTGCTTCAGCGCAGCTACTTGACAGGAGTCCCGTGTTACTTGCGAAATTCAATTGGTTACCCGCTATCGTTATTCTTGGCTTGCAGCGGTGCAAAATCACAGTGTGTCTGCCGATTGTCGGTGCGCGTCAAGGTCCGGCGTCGGAAACTTGTCGGGACCCTAACGCTTCAAAACTAGGCAAACCGAGGGCCCGCGAGGGTCCGCGCGTTGGAAAGCCGTGGGAAGTGTCGGAAAGCTGTCAGAAACGTTGGGAAGCTGTTGGAAAGAAAGCCGCGGAAAGCCTTGTCGGAAAGCTGCAGAATGCCAGCACGAGTGAGAACGCCGTCGGAAAGCAGATGTCGGAAAGCCGTCGAGATCTCTGCTTTGCTGGGCTCAGGGCGTTCGCTTTCTTGTGCGATGTGTCCGTGGCAGCCGTGCCTTCTGTTTGGCAGCCAGGCCGGCGTGCGGGCCAATGGTCAGTGGTCACAGCGCTCAAGGGTAGGGTTTGCAGCCTAGTGGCCAGGGCCCTTATTGCAAGGAGGCGTCGCGCTTCTATGGCCCCTCGCCCGTCTGCCTTTGACAGCCCCGACACGAACGCCCCGGTGATTTGAGTGCTCCATAACCATTGAGCTGATGCGCTGACACTGGCAAGACCACTGCGCCGTCACGGCGCTAGCCGAGCACACGCAGAGTTCGCGCACGAGTTGCAATCTATCGTGCCCCAAGCGTCGCCGCCGTCACGGCGCACACAAGCTGCAGCAGCCGCACTTGAGTAGCGCTCGTGGACGAGCGCTCGTAATGCGCAGCATGTGCGCATAGATTCTACGCCTAAGACAATCTTGATGTGTAGCGATCCTAGCTCAGACATCAATCCGAGTCCAGACATCTGCGCCACTGGAAGCGCCGCGCCGCAGCAGCTGCGACTCATGGCGCTTGAAGAGTATATAGCGTAGTGGTGTGACGAAACAGTTGTGACCTGTAGCGACCGTAGACCAAGAGTCGGCGCTGTCACGGCGCACGCAAGCCGCAGCAGCCGCGTTTGAGTGCAGCGTGTCACACGCAACAGACATGACCCTGCTGGGCACTCATAGAATAGCGCTTGTAGTGCGGAGCTTCTGTACCTAAGACAGCCCTGACCTGCAGCGATCTAGCACAGACATCGGCGCCACTGGAGGCGCGCCGACGTGTCTCCATGGCGTTCGTAGAGCAGCGCTCGTGATGCGAAGGACGAAGCAGTGATGACCTGCAGCGATCGCAGACCAAAAGTCGGCGCTGTCACCGCGCACACAAGCCGCAGCAGCCCGTCTGAGAATAGCGTTTCGTGGACTCGCGCTCGTCGCGCGCAACGTGTCACACGCAACAGAAACGACTCTGCTCACGACGAGCGCTATTCTATGAACGCCGCCAGACAGCCCTGACCTGCAGCGATCTAGCCCAGACATTGGCGCCACGACGCTGCAGCAGCTGCGTCTCCATGGCGTTCGTAGAATATAGCGCTCGTGATGCGAAGCACGAAGCGGTGGTGACCTGTAGCGATCGGCGCACGCAGGCCACAAAAGCCGCGTGTGAAAACAGCGCGTGCGCGCAAAATGGGTGTGGCGTGTAGCTCGACGAAATCACGAGCAACATACTCAAAGGCGCTGCGTCGGGGCGGCGCTCGTGCCGCACATAGAGAGAAAAAGTCAGCTGAGACAATCAGAGGTGTTGCTCTTTTCCAAAGGCCAAATTGAAGTCGCCTCGTAGGCGCTGCGTCGGGACGGCGCCCGTGACGCACATAGAGAGTATAGTCGGCGGAGACAATCAGAGGCAGTGTTTGTTGCTCTTTTCCAAAAGCGAAATTGAAGTCGCCTCGCTGTTTTCCTCTACACTTTGGGTCTCGACTCGTTGACGGTTGGCCCATGTTTGCGTGTCCGCGAGCTTGCACTTCTCATATCAGGCCGCCTTTTCTGGGTGGTAGCTCGTTGGCCCAAGTGTCGAGTCGTACATGGCCCCCAGCCTGCAAGACAAAGCGTTTTTGTGCCTCGACTGGTCAGCCAAGCCCTGACTGGGGCCCTGACCAACACGTTGTCGGCCCATGATTGCACATGCCTGCTTTGGTAAGCTGTAAATTGTAAAGCCTGCCTTCGCATCGGCCTTCACGAGCATACGCTTTTATAGGTTCTATGCTGTCGTTCTTGCAACTGTTGCGCAGATGTCCAATGCTTCTGCCAGTATACTACAGTTTCGGTCTTTGAGGGGCTATTGACTTCCCCCGCCCATAGCTCAATTCAGGGCGAGCTTCACGCTACAAGTTGTTCCTTCGCGCGCGCGCAGCAAATGTGTATGAAAAGCGCTCGTAGTGCAGCGCTCTATAACGCACGGCGTCCACACAACGAGGCGTCGCGCCCTAGTCGTGGCCTGCAGCGATCATAGCCCGAACAGCAGCGCTGTCCCAACACAAACTGCGTCTCCATGGAGTTTCATAAAATAGTGCTTGTAGAACAGCACCCGCAAGAGGCGCAGCGTGTATACACCAGGCAGGCGTGGCCTGTGTGGATCGCAGGCCAGCCCTCGGCGACGTCACGGCGCGCACAGGCCGCAACACTTGTGCCTCAATGGCGCTCGTAGCGCGCATGGTCGCAGCTCTGTCGGCGCAGTCACTGCATACGAGCGCCATATCGTCTTCATTGTATAGAGATTCTCACCCAGCCATTGGAGCGCGTCGTGGAGCACGCGCACCGCGCTGTTCTTATGGTCTGATTGCGCAGCTCTTGACAACGTGATGCACACAAGAGGCTGGCTCGTTTGGCTAGCGCGCTGCGCGTTGACGTCAATTGAGTTTCATGCGTTGCTCAGATATGTAACAGAAACCAACGTGCTGACGTGCGTGCGACTGCGACGTCCGACGCAGCTTTTTCGCGCGCAGTCTGCGAAACGCAGGCTTGCTATTCACTGTCACACTGTTGGGGCAGCTAGACACGAAGAAATGTCATGTCGACATTCCACACGTGGTCGACGCGCAGTGAGCCAATGCTGCTGCTGCTGGTTTGGCAAAGCCGTGTTTGCTTTCAATACGCCTCTCACCGCTTGCGCGCCGGCAATCTGCACGTCCACCACGCCCAGCTGAACGCGATGTGCGCGCAGTCTTGTCTCGCTTTTGATTTTGATATGCTTTCCTGGCGCTGGAATGTTCTACATACAGTGTTGCTTCATTGCGTAAACGCCCAAGTCGTGCACACTCTACTGGACGGCCTTGTTGTGTCTTCCGGCGGGTCCCACCTTTCCATGTCGTCGCCGCGGCAGCGCCAGCTACGCGGCGACGGCACAGTCGTCGTCGCCGTGCCCGCGCACGCGGGCAGCTGCGCCGCAACGGCGCGCGCGTCGTCGCCGTGCCCGCGCACGCGGGCAGCTGCGCCGCAACGGCGCACTCGTCGTCGCCGTGCCCGCGCAGACGGGCAGCTGCGCAGGGACGACGCAGTTGTTTTGGATCTTCTATGCACGCATTTAGGATTTCGACGCGGAGGAGCCGCCGCGTTCAACAACACGCGTGACTTCCGCGCAGAAGAATTGCCCGTCTTTTCAGATAGACTGGCGATCGTCGCCCAATTCGATGCAAACGGGGTTTGTGACTTTTTTTCAAGCCTCTAGCGTGGTGGTCCAGGGGTCAATGGACCACGGTCCAGTCTGCCGAGCAGACTGCCGATGCCAGGGGACGGCCAAAGGCCAAAGCAAAGGCCAAGGGGCAGGCAAAGGCCAAGGTTGTGCAGCTGAAAGGGCCTGCCAGCACCTCAGCCAAGGATGTGCTCTGGGATTTCTTCATGCAAACACGGAGTTCACCGTGTTTGCGAAGTTGAGAACAAGCACTTGCAGGCATTGCCTGCCGCCGGATCTTCAGCGTGAAAACATGAAGCAAGAGCGCAGCTAGGAACTTGCTAAGGCACACGTTGACTGTTGACTCAGCATTGGTTTTGGCTTCGTGCCAGATGTCAGCGCTTGCCGACTTACCCTGTCTGCAGCCGCTGAAAAGGGAATGCCGCCTTGCCAGCCGGCGGGGGCTGGGCGGGTGTTGGGCCTCAATTTCCTTAATATTTTTCGCCAATGGTCTGTGGCCAACCCAGGACCCCATTATTTAGGGTGATGACCACCTTTTTTCAAGGGTCAGAAGGAGACTCTAGGTGTCCTCAATGAGCTTGGTGCCCGTCACGACGCATGTTTGCTTGTTGTGCCTTGGCTCCCACCGCACTCCGGTCGCAACATACCGAACTCTCACCAAGCTGGTTACCAACTATACAGGTAACCGGACAGCATGGGTCAGACCAAAGCGAAGACCGCCACCATGGCGCTCCACAGCAAGGACCCCGAGTCCGCCATCTTCGACAGCACCGCTTCACGGAGCACCGCCAGGTCCAAGTCGTTTTGGTCAGACGGGTTCTGGTCTCGGATATGCCCCGAAGTAACCTGGGTCTGTCTCGCACTCCCTGAGTTCATGGACTTAAAACTTGTTTGTTTTGGACCATTTTAGCGATTGGTTCCTTTTTTGGCCAGTCCACTCAGGACGTGAGGGTGCCCACCAGGGGGTTGGGGATCAGTTGGCACTTCGGCGTAACGTTTGGCGGGTAATCTGGAAGACATGGCGGTCAAAACTTGAAAAAGTACCCCCCCCCCTCCCTCCCTCCCCTCCCTCCCTCCCTCCCTCCCTCCCTCCCTCCCCTCCCTCCCTCCCTCCCTCCCACCCTCCCTCCCTCCCTCCCTCCCCCTCCCTCCCCTCCCTCCCTCCCTCCCTCCCTCCTCCCTCCCTCCCTCCCCCCTCCTCCCTCCCTCCCTCCCTCCCTCCCTCCCCTCCTCCCTCCCTCCCCCTCCCTCCCTCCCTCCCTCTCCCTCCCCGTTTTGGGCAGTGCTTAAATGAAGAGTGAAAGGATACTCGTCACTTGACAGGGGCTTTACGCAATGCCCGCATCTGACTAGCCTGAAACGGCTGCCATCTCCAGCAAAAAACACAAACGCGGACACAAACCCAAGACAAACACAACTACACACACAAAACACTCACAAAACAAGCACACAACACAAAACAAACACACAACACACACAAAACAAGCACACACACACACAGACCCATCCGGGTGTCTTTTTTTTCCGGTGTTCAGCTTTCCGCGTGCATTCCGCTTTCAGCCGCCAGGTTTGGATTCCGCGGATCTTTGCTGCTCTGTTTGATCATGTCGGTGTCAGTCTCCGCTGCTGCGGTACTTTTGTGCCGCGGCCAAATTCATTTTTCTGACATAAAAAAGGGGGGGGGGAACCCAAAGGGGTGTCCCCTAAACCAACAAAACACTTTGGGCTACTGTCAAACCAAGAATACCATAGGGCGAGTACATTTAAAAAAAAGGGGGGGGACCCAAAGGGGTGTCTTTCAGACTCTAAAGATTGCAGCTTTGGGGGTCCCATGCGAATGCGGCGAGTAAACCAACAAAACAATTTGGGCTACTGTCAAACCAAGAATTTGCTACTGTCAAACCAATAATTTCATAGGGCGAGTCAAACTATACGAAGTTTGCAGAACATTTGGGAAGCGTTTTCTGGCTCGAGTTTGTTTGACTTGATCACGGGACCTAGGAATGTGGGGTTCAGTAGGCGAGGTCAACTTTGGAGAGAACGTGTTGCACGACTGATTTGATTGCCGACCCTTGAGCAACAGTTTGAAGCCATTGTCATGATTATCTCTTCGGGCGATTGACGTTCCTTCATACGAAACCAGGGAAGCCTACAGCTTTGACCCATCGTGGCTATTCATTGCCTGGTTCAAGTGTCTCAGGCAGAGGTAATAATTCGTCATGCATTGCCGACAGTCACGAGCGCATCAGACTTGAGAGGAAGAGAAACGACTAGCAGTGAGCCCTGAAATCAAGGACACACGTTAGAATGGCATAAACAAAGCGCCCGTTTAAGGAGCATGTTCCAAGAGCCAACACTCTCCAACTGCTTTCTCCCATGTCCAACAGTTGTTTGCGGGGTTGCTGGAAGAAGCTTTTTCGGAGCATGTTCTCCCGGTTCGAGGTGGTCGGAGATGGGCTGCGGTAAGACATGTCGGTGGCTCAGCGGGCGAGAGAGAGCCGGAGACATCAACTGACTCTCTTTGCAAAGGGGAACAAGGCACGGCCAGAAACAACATCCAAACGAGAAACACAGTCACACACACACACACACACCCACGCGCACGCCCGCGCCCGCACCCGCACCCGCACCCGCACCCGCACCCGCACCCGCACCGCGCCCGCACACACGCACGCACACACACGCACACGCACACGCACACACACGCGCACGTCCGCACGCACGCATGCCACGCCACGCCACGCCACGCAACGCACGCACCCACACCCACACACACTCACACACCCACACCCACACCCACACGCGCACGCGCACGCACAAGCACACGCACACGCACACGCACACGCACACCCACATCCACACACACACACACACGCACACACGCGCACACGCGCACACACGCACACACGCACACACACACACACACACACACACACACACACACACACACACACACACACACACACACACACACACACACACACACACACACACACACACACACACACACACACACACACACACACACACACACACACACACACACACACACACACACACACACACACACACACACACACACACACACACACACACACACACACACACACAAACACACACACACACACACACACACACACACACACACACACACACACACACACACACACACACACACACACACACACACACACACACACACACACACACACACACACACACACACACACACACACACACACACACACACACACACACACACACACACACACACACACACACACACACACACACACACACACACACACACACCACAGTCACGAAGAGCGGAACGCGATGCTACTCGAAACACAAGAAGAAAGCAACGAAGCTGGGGATGTTCGAAAAGACACTGTTTGAGGCCCATGGAGATTCTAGGATGAGGACAGCACACACTTATACCGATACCCACGGAAGCGCGGGAGACACATCCAGCCCAGGACCTTTCTGTTACCGAGTTGCAACTTCTTGCAGTCCTCAATGGTGAATCCTGAGGTCCTGTGGACAAAATCCGGCAGGTGGGATGGATGAAACTGAAACCCTTGTGAAAAGCTGGGCAAAAAGCAACTTTCACCTTACCAGCCCGCTGCAGGATGTTGTCCATTCGCAGTCCATCCACTTTTGCATCCTGCCAAGTCAGAAGAATCAGCTTGCATTTTTGGGTGATCCTTTCCGGGGTACAACCTGATACTGGCACACCAGGCCTTGCAACCCCCCAATGTACATGGGCGTGTCTCAAAGAAAGGGCCTAAGGGAGACCCCTAGAACAGCGTAGTATCCTTTTGGTTCCCCTTCAAAAGCCCAAGATGTGGTTACCCTCATCAACAAGGCCAATGTTGCCTATACTCAACACCTTGTCTGCCAACACCAGTGTCTACCAAAATATGGGTTTCCCCCTGGAAGGTTGTCGATCAACACGTCCACTTCGACTTGAGCGCTGAGGCTTGGGCTTCTTGCAAGGGCATAAGCTCTTGGCGCTGCTCTGCGCCGGGATCTCCGCGCTTCTCGGCGGAAAGAGATGGGACTTGATTTGGTTTTCCGGGAGCGAAATATCGGAAAAACAGCCGGGCTGCGAAGGTTGGGGAAAAGTTTTAAACATGCCCCAACCGTTGGCTAGGTTTTCCAGCTAGGTGCCCTTTCTCACCGTTTCTTTTTTGGTTGGGAGGGTTCCCCTACTGAAATAGACTGAACAAGTTGGTACCCTAATTCTGACCTCTCTACTGGAGGACCTAGTTTTGCTTAGAAATGGATGGGTTCCAATGCTCAAGATGGGTTTGCCACATTCACGAGGCAAACCCAGACATATGTTTCCAAAAGGTTACATATCGTCCCAACCAGAAACAGTTGCAGGTATGTGCCTTGTCGATGCTTCACATGTTGGGTAGACCGCTTTAATTGTGTGTTTTGATTCTGCAAGTGTAACAGATAACATGTTTAGTCTGCCTGCTTTAGGGCGAGCTCACCGATGCGGGTGTAAAAGAAAGCGAGTCTATAATGATGGCCCTTCTCTTGGAGATCCAAATCCGATTTCAGTCTCTGGATTTGTTGGGAGAGGACAACCCCGAATTTTCCCATGTCCTGTTAGTCATTTCTTCCAGGTCTCGCATGGAGGCGGCGTTACCCCAGTGGATCACGTGGTTTGTTTCGTTTTGGTGGTGTGTGTGTGTGTGTGTTTTTATACTGCGTTCGATTAGGCTTTCTTCCTCCGGTTGCCCTGGCCCTCGCTACCGAAGCTCCCACTAGACAATGGCCATGACTCTAGGGGTTGACTCCTCATTCTTTTCAGTCATTGTTCTTTCAAAAACCAGCCATTTCCCTAGGGTTTTTGGTGGTTTGAAAGGAAAAGGGATCCCCGGAAACAACGGGGAAGTTACCCCTAGAACGACCAGGACCAATTTTCCTTTGTGAGGAGATTCGAGGCATGCTTTCTGCATCTTTCTGCACTCCGCGCTAAGGTTTCTGCTGCTAACGCTTTATTTACTTGCGCCTTGACTGCACTTGGCATAGGCCCCATAAAGCACTTCGGAGTGATTTGTTCGGTACTGACGGCATGTTTGAGTCACTTAGGCGTCAATCAGAACGCTTGCACCGTTCGAATTAACTATTTCGAACCAAAAAGTCGGAAGGAAGATTCGGATCACTTTGCCAGCACCCGGGTCCCAAGTTCTTGTTCCATCAGAAACCAAAGTGCCATGATAGCCATGGTTGCTATGGACCCCGGTGCGGTTGGCCATGGCCTCGGGCCAACAGCGGGCCCCAAATTTGGCTCTGTCATTTGTCGAGGGGTAGGCCTGTGTTTTAAAGGGAAGCCCAAGAAAAGCGACCCATGGGGGTCCCGTAAAACAAGACGACTCACCCAAATTGACCGTTTCGAGTGCGCGGAATCGACACTTCACCCATATTCCGCTCGAAGCCATTTCGCTTTGCCAATAGCCTTGGGCATTTTAGTAGGTTCTAGAACCACGCTAGTAGAGCCAACAACAACCCAGTGGTGCCTTTTTTCCTTTTTTGGGGGGAAGGGCTCCCAAAAAAAAGATGCTTTTTTTTCCCCTGGCCGCTGGGCATGTGAGATGGGTTGAAGGGTCCCCGCTACGATCCGCTATGGCCATCTACGAGAGGCTTGCGGTTCAGGTCCGAACACCTGCACCCGATCGTTTTCTCCACAGGTTGCTGTCAGGTGATTCGGCGTTGGGCTGAATCTCAGTTTGAAAGAAGTACACCACCCTTTTTCCATGGACAAAGTCACACTGCCTCACCTTTGGTCGATGTTCTGTGGCAACGGGCTTTCCCTTGGCGTTGATAAGGAAGCAAAGAATCGTCTTCGAGTCGTTGTGCCGAGCATTTGACATCAGCCGCTTGCGGCCGACTCGTCTCGTGGCTGTCGCGTTAGGACTTCTTCTTGCCACCACACTTGCCGGGCCTGGCTCTTAGCTTGCTACAAGCTTGGCGCTGGCTTCTGCATGTTCTATATCCAAGCGCTCAGTTGTTCAGTGGCTCCCTTTTTCCCCCCTTTTTTTGGTGGCTGCCTCACTAAAATGGTCCAAGCCCAAAAAGTGTTCCCTTTTTTCCAGGGTCACTGAAGAACTGAGACTAAAGCGAGGTGAGTACTGCGCGTTGTACAAGGGGGACCGCTTCCTTGGACGAGGCGTGGAGCCGAGCCCAGGGCTCCCAGCAACAACTCGCAGCACGCAGGAGGTGTTCTTTCCTGATAGAAACAATACGAGCGCCCTCTCTTTGCCCCGAATATAAATATCCCTTGTAAGGGTCAGGACCCCTAAGACGAGAACCCCGACATTAAAAACCACCAGTTTTGGGGCACCCCTTGGGGAGCGTTGTGAACTGGCGAGAGGTTTCAGCTTCTCGCAATGAGCCACGGTCTTCGACCTGCTGTCTCGGACGGTCACGGTCCTACATAAAGAGTGTTGGCCAATTGTCCTACATAAAGAGTTTTGACCTTGCAAGTGGACTCAGCCCTTTCCCGGGCCGCAACAAGTATTGGCATGAGTTCAGATACGTACGATGATAAGGTCGTCCAAGGAAATGTTTAGTCCATTTGCTTTTAGCTCTTCTCGAAGTGTGCAATTGAAATGCATGTGCAAGATCAGAACTACATATTTGCGCACTTCACATCAAAATGGAGAGCCCACTCCTGCATCCGGGTCTGGGGCTGAACAAGGGTCAGCGAAGTGCTTTGTAGTCGCCGCCCCTTTCTGTTGTAGCAGAGTGCATTCATTTCAGTTGGAAGGATACTTTCCTGTTGCATGATTGTCATTGCTAGATCCGTCTTATTGCCGATGGTCTCAAACGCAAATCAGATCTTGCGCTATTTCAATCGCACCTTGCTCCTCCTGGCCGCCTCGCCTTGCCTCGCAGCAACATGCCTCGCGCCAGGCATTTTGTTCTCAGCAATTGTGGCAATGATCTGTGCAACTTTTTTTCTGGCCAACACCTTTCCGACGGCCGCCTGGCTGCAGCTGGGTTAGAAGCCTCTCGCTTCTTGGCTGACTCACCTGGCCCATTGCGCTTCAGCAGGGTTCTAGGGGTACCTTCCCCATTCTTTCCAGGGATCCTTCTTTTCGGGAAACCATCAAAAACCCAGGGAAACCGCCGGGTTTTGAAAAGAAGGATGGTTGAAAAGAATGGGGAATCATTCCTATAGAAGGGTATGGATATTACCAACGGCAAAGGGGGTGAGGTTCTGAATGCGCGCACAGGCCATGCTTGAGGAAAAGTCGAAGCCACATGCTCCTACTTTTGCTTGCAGACTCGACGCAGTAGCGATGCACTGGTGCTTTGAAAGCGAGACATTCTCGTCAGGGAGAAGATTGAGGCCGGCGGTAGGGGGAGCATTCTAAATACAGAACAGAATTTTCGGGAAGGGCCTTGTGCACAATGAAAGAAGGCGGAAACAATCGCCACTTTGCTACCGTAAGCAAGGCATGCCAAACGATGAACCAAGGAACCTCTTGACGATGGCTAGTTTCCATGTGTTTGTTTGTCTGCTACTTGGATTTTGCTTTTGGATCCAGCCAGCAGTGTGGCTAGATTCTGATACATGATCACAGCCACACCGTGGCAACCCCAGCTGTTGCCTAGAATTCCTAGATCGGCGCCAGGCTTTAAACCAAATATGCACGTAAGTTAGTGCATAAGGCAGGCAATGTGTGTCGACTGAGGTTGAAGCTAGGCGTCTCTCGGTGGACTGTCAAGCCAGAGATTGCAGCACGATTGGTTGCCTTTTTTTCGTGCGGTTCCCTTCGGGTGGATTGTATTTCTCAATGTGACAGGAGGAGACACTGACAGGGAGCCTGGGAAACACAACAACATTGGCATTTGCCGGTTGGAAAAAGCAGGGCCCTTGTCAGCCAATGGTCATGTCTCCGCTTTCTGGAAAGCCTTTTGGACCGAGGCACCGCTTGTGCAACTTGGCAGAGATCGGTTGCCTGCACTTTGCGGGGCAAAAAGGGACTACAATCAAAGCCAAGAAAATTCCTTTGGTGCTGATTTACCCTAAATCAGCCCGGGGTAGTTCATGTGGTTCACGTTCTTCCGGGATTTTCTGCCGCTGAGGTTGACCATTTTCCTGTCCCCTGCTCTTCTGATTGCCGTGCGGCAGGCCGGGTGCTTCCAACTTGGATTCAGGCTGGGGGGTAAGAGGCAAATCTGGAGGCAAAACGACAGTTGGACATGGGGATGGCTTTGAAAGACATGGTACGTGTATTGGCCAGTGGGGACTCATGCTTGTAAGGAGCCGTGAGTTCAGGCATTTTGTTCCCTTTGTTAAAGGTGCAAACTTGAACAGTTGGATATGCCCGTGTCTGATCGATGGATTTTGAAGACAGAAGGTGCTTTTGACACCCCATTGTGCGAGCTGCAATGTCCCCAATGATTTCTTGTTTTTGGTTGGTGAGCTCCCTCGAATAATCATAGAAGCTGACGATTGGAGAGCTTTGGAAAACTAAATTCCTCATTTGGGCGAAACCCGCCCTGTCAAAACCTAGGCGTTGATTCCCCATTCGTTTCAACCATCGTTCCTCTCAAAAACCGGCCGTTTTCCCTGGGATTCTGGAGGTTTTCTAGAAACCTGGAAAGAAAAATGGTCCACTTCCACGACGTCGGTACGTTGAGTTGGCTGCGGGTGGTTCCTGGAGTGAATGCTGAGGTCACCAAGCCCCGGCCTCGCTTTGTACTGGGCAACGCCGGAAAAGAGGCGAGCTTGCAGGACGGGCTTCGCTGAAGTGACTTCCTTGGCTCGGTGCTAGGTGCCAACTTTCACCGTTTCATTTTTTGGGGGACCCAGCTAGGTGCCAACTTTGACCGTAACTTTCCTTTTTTGGGGGAGAGTTCCCCTACTAAAAAGCTGGAGGACCTAGTTGGGAACGGTTGGGATTTCGTGTGCATGGCTGAAGTGCGCACCTCTTTACCATGGTTGAAGCCATTGGTTGGTGCGGAATCGATTCATTCCAGGGTTTCTTGGCTATGATTTGAAAGGAGGCCATCGCAAAAGAAAGGGAATGGAATCCACACATTTGGGGGGTTCTTCTAGACAACCTTGTTGGGGTTGCCCATATTGCAATACACCCGAAGATGCTTTTCTCGAGCTGTCCGCAAAGAGCTCTTTCAATTTGTACCAAAAGTGGTCTGCCCGAGGTTTTGTCGGTCGAAATCTCCATCATAGAGCATTTGTAGCAGGGGTCCTCTTGTTTTCCTGATCCAGGGGTCCTTTGTGATGGGGTGGAATGGGAGCAGCAGGACATGGGGCCCTACCCAACATTTTCCCCATTTTCGCACAAAATCAGGGACCCAATTTGAACCAACAAGTCATATGATTCATGGCTCTCCGCGAAAGAAGGAGGCCAGAACCAACAAGAGCCATCCAGATGCGCGCGTCTGGCGTCTCACAGGAGCGTTTGAGGATGCTTAAGATGGTGACTGGAGAGGAGAAGGACCGCTGCAGCCTCGATTGCCGCTTCTTCCCCTCAGTTGTTCAGTGGCACCCTTTTTCCCCCTTTTTTGGGTGGCTGCCCCACTGAAAATGGTCTTCCCCAAGAACGGGTTCCCTTTTTTCCAGGGTCACTGAACAACTGAGTCCCTCGTAAATTGCGGGGCTTGTGTGAGCTACCCTTGCTACCACTAGCACTGAATATGGCTTGGGGAGTTGGAAGACAATTTCCTCTTAAAGATCCTTGGTGGGTGCCATGTCGGTGGACAGAAAATTAAAATTTGGTTTCACTTCTGTCATGGTTGATGTATCACAAAGGTTGCCGACTCCTTAAACTAATTGATGCTGGGAAGCAAATGTCAGGTGAATGCAGCATACCCGTCACGTTATGCTCAATGAAACACGGCCTCTACTCTGCACGTAGCAGAGTGTTGCTATTTGAATCGCCCTGAACAAGATTGTTTCTGCTACACGTATTGGAAAAGAGCTAAAGACGTCATGATGGTTTCTATCACGGGAATCTGGTGAGTCTTCATTGGCATTTGAGGTACCTTCGGGGTTTGATCGTTTCTCATGTAGTATAGGCTCACCGCCTCTCAAAGCTCCGCTTCTTCGCCTGTTCGAGGCAACATGCCAAGATCGCTTTCCAGAAGAGAAACAAACTGTCAGATCGCTTTGCCCCTGGCAGGAACAGTGCCTTTTCTATCGCGCCGCCACACTGGCGTTCGTGGTGACGGCGCTGCTGTGTATTGGCGTGTGGATTCCCTGGGCAGCGACGACGGAGGCCTAGCTGCTGCAAGCAGAAGACATTGTTCTGTGAAATGGAGTACAGGCCTCCCGCCCTTGAATCATGTGCAGTCTTGAGGTTTCATGACCAGAGCCACATGGCTCCGAGCGGGAGCCCCCGCATGCGTAGCAAAATAGGCCGCTGGCGAGCATTTGTTCGTCAGTGGTAGCGGAGCCCTCGGCGGTGATCCGGGGGGCGCGCCATGGCCGAAGGGTCGGAGAAGGCGGAGAACAAGGGCTTCTCGAAGGAGGCTCCTCCGCCTAGTTGGGATGGTGGGTCGCCTCACCAGGAGTTTGAGCGCTTCGAGCGCGACGTGAAGTTGTGGGAGTTTGAGACGGAGGTGGAGCTGAAGAAGAGAGGTGCCAGACTCTTGAGGGGTCTGTCAGGCCCAGCGCGGGCAGTCGCCGATGCGCTGGAATTCGACAAGATTGCATGTGAAGAAGGGCTGGACAACATCATGAAGGCCTTGAGGGAGCACTACAAGCCCCACTTGGAGGTGAGTCTGGCGAGGGCCTTGGAGCAGGCCATCTACGGGCAGGCGCGGCAGAGCAAGGAGGACTTTCAGGAGTACCTCATCCGGATGGAGAAGGAGTTTGCGCGTCTTAGCAAGGAAGGTGTCAGGCTGCCAAGTCAGGCACAGGGCTACATCTACTACCGGCAGGCCTCGCTGACCGAGAACCAGGAAATGAAGCTCACCACATGGACCAATAATAATAGTTTCGAGTTGGGCCAAGTGGTCGGGGCGCTCAGGAAGCTCGACAAGGTGATAAAGGATGACAAGGGCAAGGCGAGGCTGTATAACGAGACTTTTGCCGAGTTCGAGGCGCCTGAGGAGCACGTGGGTGGTTTGGAGAACGAGGAGTACAGCCAGAGCGATGAGGAGTATGTGTACCTTGAAGAAGGAGCACTTCAGAACGTGTATGAAGAAGACGAAGTGAACATGGCTCTCACAACGTATAAGGAGGTGCGGGAGGCGATCAACGCCCAACAGAAGGGGCGGCAGTACTACAAGCCAGTCTTTGGCAAAGGGCGCGGGGGCTCCTCAAAAGGAAAAGGCAAGGGCAAAGGACTCCAGCGCGTCCACATCGAGCAGATCAAATTGCGGACCCGCTGTGCAAGGTGCGGCAACATCGGCCACTGGGCTCGGGAGTGCCGGGCGGCCCCAGACAAGCGCGGCTTGGAGAACCAGGCCAAGATGCAGGCTGGAGGAGGCCCACCTTCGAGTACGGGAACTGCAAACACAGGATCTAGCCGGAGCTGGTTTTGTGCAGTTGGAGACGAACATGATGCGGGAGGACAGCCGGGGTCTGTGGTTTTCAGTAGTTGTTTGATGACCGGGGGAACGGTCAACGAATTTTTCGGTGGGACATCGCAGGCCGAAGCAGCGCAAATGCGGAGGCCGGTGAGTGAACGCAAGCCTGAGGTTGAATTTCCATGTGCGGTTGAGACGGGGAACTCATCGTGTGCGATGAGACAACATGGACAATCAGATGGGGACGATTGTTTTTGCGGGATTACAACTCAACCAGCACAGGGAGTGGTAGACACTGCTGCACAGGATGGTCTTTTGGGCGAAAGAGCTTTGGCCAGCTTGCAGTGTGCATTGGACAAGCATGGACTTCGATGCGTGTGGACCGGCAAACAGGGACGTGCCCAGGGTGTTGGAGGCAGAGCTCATACTTTGGGGATTGTGGCAATACCTCTGGGATTAGCTGGTACAACGGGGATTCTTGAAGCCACCGTCGTGAAGGAGTCAGTTCCACTTCTTTTGCCGATCAAGCTGCTTCGTCAAATTGGGGCAACCATCAATCTCGTGACCATGACTCTTGAACTGCAAATCAATGGGCGAACCCTGGAACTCCATGAACTTCCAAGCGGACATGTGACAATCGATGTGCTTGATTTTGGTCCAGGAGGTTTCAAGGTTCCAGACACAGCAGTGGGCTACCGGGATTCAGATTTTCAGATGGCGAGTCCCGGAGTATTTCTGGGCACAAACCTCATGCCCGGAAAGCGACCCAATTCGTTTCCTCCCGAGAGCAATGCCGTTGACTTTGGTGGGCAAGATCAAGGAATCGAGGCTCACTCCGGCGGCAAGGCAGAACGTCTCCGAGCAGAAGGACGTTCACTATCACAACCCACGTCGAGCTCTACGGGGATGGAGAGTGATGATGGACCGCTACATCGACCTGGTGCAATATGTGGGACTTCACGAATGGGTGTCCGGATGGCTCTCAATTGGGCCTTTGCAAGAAGTGGAAGGATACCGGAAATCAGTTGGGACAAGCTTGTGCGATGTCTACGGACAGCTCATCGAGTCGGCGGAGAAGCTCACCCCGCTGAAGACCAAGGAGATGCCGAAGAAGAGGGAGAGCGACTGCACGCATCCAAGTCACCATCTGAAGGGCGGTGGCAACAAGCACATGAGCTACGTGGTGTGCAGTCTGTGCAATGCCAGGTGGCGGACGGAGATGTCATCTGCAGAGATCAAGGCGAAGCTCAAGGAGGACAAGGTGCCGGTCTTCGTGAAGAACCCGAGTCAGGACCAGCCCGTGGGCCAGGAGAAAATCCAAGGGTGTGGGAAAGCTCGAGGACCACCCGGAGATCATGGATTACAAGGAGGAGGTTCGCCGGCTGAGCAGGAAGATGGAGAGAATGACGCAAGTGGTACGAGCGGTGGAGGAGATGCAACGCTCCCAGACCATGGAGGACTACGAAATGGAGAAGGTCGACGAGCTGGGGACGATGAACGAGAGCAGCCCATGGAAGCTGATTCCGAGCTTCGACCAGAAGGATCTACCTCAGAATCAACAAGCACAAGCGAGTCAAGAAGCAGCACCAGCGAGGAAGATGACGGTACGGAAGTTGTCGAAGAGCCCAAGCCGGAGTCGATGAAGCAATGGTGCAGAGTGGCTACTCGAGAACAGGCAGAAGGAATCATGGACATGGAGAACGGCTGGTTCACGGTGAAGAACTTGGCGGAGAAGAACGACGGCGTCTACCTGGAGGTGGTGCCCACTCGACGATACATGCTGGAGGAGATGGTGGAGAGCCCAGACGAGGTGTCACTCAACAGGCACGTGAGAAAGCGGCTGCGAAAGAGCATGAACCAGGTGACCGAGGCGCTTGCGGTGGACGTGGCGGAGGTTTATTCACCACCGCGTGTGACAACTGCGGCAAAGAGGCTTGGGTTGTCAACTGGAGTCGCGGTCGACAAGATCACGGGCTATGACCTGGCGTGTGAGGAGGATCGGAAGAAGATGTGGAGAAAGTTGAGAGAGGATGATCCTCTTCTGATAGTGCTCAGCCCTCCATGCACTGCCTTTTGCCAACTTCAGAACCTCAACTACGGCAAGATGACCTGGGAGCAAGCAGTGACTATGATCTGCACGGGCATTGAACACATGGAGATCGCAGCGGCTGTGGCTAAATGGCAGATGAGGCGAGGGAGACTCTTCGCACTGGAGAATCCGGCGGGTTCTCTTGCATGGGACGAGAAGTGCATCGTGGAGCTGATGGGCTTTGAGGGAGTCGAGACGATAAAGAACGACATGTGCGCCTTCAAAATGTGTGTGCACGGGGACGAGCAGGAAGGGTACAACCAGAAGCCCACAAAGTGGATCACCAACTGCCCCGAGATCGCTCAGCTCCTGGATCGAAGGTGTGACCACTCACATGCACATGTGCCCTTGCTGTCGGGAAAGGCAGCCAAGGCAGCAATATATCCGGAGGAGTTGTGTGTCGCGATCGCCCAAGGATTGAAGAACTACATCAAGCGCAAGAAGGTAGTTAGATTCGCTGGGAGCTACCACGAGGAGGAGGACACCGAGAAGTACACCTTTGCGGAGGAAGATGTGGGAGATCTGGAAGAAGATCTACGCCAAGAAGAGCGAGTACGTGGGCCTGGACCGAGAATTCCGACCATGGTGACCAAGGAGGAGAAGGGCAAGATCATGAAGATGCATCAGAACCTCGGTCATCCGAATACGTTGGCCTTCGTCAGGATGCTGCGCGCAGGGCGTGTGAGAGAAGAGATTATTCAGTGGGTGCAGGAGGAGTTCCGATGTCCGGAATGTGAAGCGCATCCACTTCCCAAAGCGCCAAGGCCAGCGGTGGTGCCGAAGACCTACCGACCAGGGGTGGCACTGGGGATCGACCTGGTGTTCATCCCAAGTGTGAGTTCGGCCCCTGGATTGGCACCACTACTTCCTGCACTCAACATGGTGGATCTGGGTACCAACTACCAGATGATCGAAGTGGTGGAGAACAAGGAACCGCAGACGGTGTTCAGAGCATTGTGGAGAACGTGGTTCCGGACTTTCGGCGCACCTGAGTATCTCACGGTGGATGAGGGCACGGAGTTCAAAGCAGAGTTTAGCAAGCTATGTGCTGACGCTGGGATAGTGGTCTTCAAGACGGCAAGCAAGGCTCCGTGGATGCAGGGACGAGTCGAACGGCATGGAGGTCTCTACAAGACGATGTTAGCTCACGCGAGGGAATCAATGCCACCGGGAAGTCATGCGGAGCTTCTGAGGCTAATGCAGGAGATCGAGGCGGCGAAGAACAGGTTCAGCAATAGATCTGGCTTCAGCCCTACGCAGAGGCAAGTTGGACAATGGCCTAGAGTTCCTTCATCTATGATGAGCGACGAAGCTATCGATCCCACCCTGCAGTCGCAGAACAACTCCGACGATTACATCAAGATGCTTCAGTATGAGGGAGGTGGCGCAGGAGGCGTTCGTCAAGGCGAACTCGCGCGATGCTGCAAGGCGAGCTATGAGGGCTAGGCCACGGACTCAGAGAAGTTGGAAGCCTGGAGATCTTGTGTATGTGTATCGGATCTTGAGAGAAAGGCGAAGAGTTGACGGCGGAGGTGGCCGCATTACCCGCAAGGCAGTGTGGACCGGGCCAGGCACCGTGTTGAGCATGGAAGGCGCGGTGGTTTGGATCAACATGATGGGGGAGCTGTGGCGCACTGCTCAGGAACAGGTCCGGGACGCGACGCAAGAGGAACGGCTTGGAGCAGAGGTAGTGGCAGAGTCATTTCAGGAGATGCAAGAGCGACTGAAGCGGAATCCTCATCGTCCTGGATACCGCGATGTGACACGCGATGCGGCGGAAGAGGAGCACTGGGAGGCAGAAGCTCGAGCACAAGCAGGTTTACCTGGGGAAGTAGATGAAGAGCTCGAGGTGGCGGACGCTGGAGATGATCCTGTAGATCATGAAGGGCAAGAACGTGGACAACCCCGACGGCGACTTGAAGAAGATGTTCAGCCAGAGCTTCCACCAGTCCCGGAGGACATGGAAGACGAGGAGAATGCGCAGAGTGAGGAATCCAAGTCACAGCCAGAGCCGGAGTTAGAGGAAGCCGGAAACCGGGCGCGGCTGGAGAAGGAAGCATTGGAGATGAATGATACGATGGATGGGATACCGTCTAGTGGAAGCAGTGGACCCCATCGATCCGAACGAGGTGCAAGGTGGAGAACGCATTTGGCAGCTCCATACTTCAATGAGGTGTTCTTCGGCCTGGAGGAGGAGATCCAGTCGGAGAGTATCGAGCCCGGGGAAGACTACTGGGTGTATGACCCTCTCGGAGGGGTCCTGCAGCGACATCACGTGCGAGAAAGGAAGGCCAGATTTAAGCCAACAGATGTGAAGCAGTGTCCGATTCCTCTTCGATCAGTACTCAAGGAGAGGAAATCCTTCATGAAGTTCATTGATGGAACCGAGCGTGTGGAAGAGGACCAATGGAGCTGGTTGGACGACAAGCGGCCTACGCGAAATTGGTGGAAAGGGTACACCGAGTTCAAGGTGGACCAGGAGCAGGTGGCGGTGAATCAGACCTTTACTACTGCAGGAAAAAGACGTGGAGATGGAGAAATCTACGACCACGAGATTCCGGAGGGCGAGAAAGCCGAGTGGAATTGCGCGGACAAGGAGGAGTGGCAGAAGATTGTGGAGAGCGGCGCGGTCAAGGTCCTCTCTGTGACGGAGTCGCGGAAGGTGACGAAGGAGTTGGAGGCTCGGGGAGAACTTGGACGCATACTACCGACGAGAATGGTGAGGCGCTACAAGCCTTCGGAGGAGGTTGGAGTGCCTGCTTCAAGAAAGAGCCGATGGTGTGTGCGAGGAGATAAAGATCCGGATATCCTGGAGTTGCAGCGGTTTGCGCCGACGGTGGCAACTTCGTCTTTGCAGGTGGCAATGCAGGCGGCGGTCAATCACGATTTGGAGTTCAAGATCGGGGATCTCAAGAGTGCCTTCACGCAGTCAATGCCTTTGATTCGAAGGCGTGGTAAGCTGTACTGCAGGCAGTGTCGAGGAGGGCACAACGACCTGGAGGAGGGACAGCTGGTGGAGATTGTCCTCGGATGCTATGGATTGCCGGATGCCCCTTTGCACTGGCGGCGGACTTTGAGACGGTACCTCATTGGCACCCTGGGATATAAACCTTCAAGGATGGATCCGTGTATGTTTCTGCTTCATGTACAAGGTCTTCTCAAGGGGATCGTACTGGTGGAGGTCGACGACCTGTTGCTCATGGGCAAAGATGAGCATCATGAGCGGGTGAAGAAGCTGCAGGAGCGATTCAAGTTTGGGAAGCTCAAGGACGTGGATGAGAAGGGCGTGGGCTTCAATGGAAGGAGAATCAGAATTGAGCATGGAGTGGTGAAGATCGACATGGAGAAGTTTGTGCGGGAGAGACTGAGCGAGATGAACATCGAGAAGGAGCGGAAGAAGCATCCTGGAGCTCTACTACAGGTGGAGGAAACGGCAGCGGCTAGGAGTGTGTGTGGCGCTTTGAATTGGATTGGCAAGGAGGGGCGTCCCGATGCCGCGGCAGCAGCATCTCTCTTTTCATCCAAGCTCAAGAAGATGACCATTGCCGATGTCATCGATATGAACAAGGCCGTGCGCAAGGTCAAGGACAACCCCACTTTGTCGTTGCAGATTCAGAAGCTGGAGGACATGCGGTGGGGTGTGGTGACGGATGCTAGCTGGGCCAATACCACGGAGAACCGTTCGCAAGGTGGTCACGTGGTGATTACCTTCAACAAGGAGCTGATGAGTGGGGTGCGGGCCAAGACGAACATTCTAATGTGGAAGAGTGGCAAGTTGCCTCGAGTTGTTGGGTCTACGCTGGCCGCGGAGACTCAGTCATTGGCTCGTGGCGTGGGGGAGCTCATCTGGGCCAAGGTGGTGTACTTGGAGATTGTGGACCCCACATTCGAGCTGAGGGACTGGCAGAATCAGGTACGCGAGGAAGGATATCTTGCCCTTGCTCGCGAAGACAGTGCGGAACAGCTGAAGGAGGCATTGGCGGTGGTGGATGCCAAGTCGCTGTTCGACTTGATCAGCCGGGACTCTCATGGAGGCCAGGATCGCCGAACGGCGATCGACATCCAGTTGATCAAGGAGGAGCTGCGGGCATTGCACGGAAGTGTGCGCTGGGTGGAACACTTGGACATGCTGGCAGACAGCCTCACCAAGCGCGATGGGTCCACGGAGAGCTTGACGAAGGTCTTGGAGTCGGGGGAGTACGGCATCGAGGCTGAGAGCAGCGTTTTGGCCAGGAGGGCCGATTCAAGGGCGAAGAAATTTTGAGGCGCTGTGAAATGGAGTACAGGCCTCCCGCCCTTGAATCATGTGCAGTCTTGAGGTTTCATGACCAGAGCCACATGGCTCCGAGCGGGAGCCCCCGCATGCGTAGCAAAATAGGCCGCTGGCGAGCATTTGTTCGTCAGTTCCTATACCTGGTTGTTGCTGGGAAACATTTTTCATTTTTGCTTATTGTGGTGCAGTGGGAAATCCCCACTTAACTGCTATAATTTTGCATTTTTCTTCCCTTCCAACGTCAACCAAATATATGCGCTGATTCCCCCATTTCTTTTGAGCAGCGGTTTTTCAGTCCTTGGATTGCATGCTGAGTGGATTTCCGGAAAGAAGGATCTCTGGAAAGAATCTGGACGTGACACCTGGCGTGGTTCATACTCCACTGGTGAACAAAAGGTGCCGAGTTCCGATGGCCGAATAAAAATCGATCGCCCTCAACAGGTGCTGCGCTGCTTGCGGTGCCATTCCCTTGCAACTTGCATAGCTGAAGCTTACTTTCATTTGCTTTAGACGCTTTGATGTGTCCCAGTGGTTGTTGGATGACTCGTGTGGTTTGTTGGCACATCAAGCAAAACGGACCACTTTGCCTTTGTGTTGTCCTTGAGTCACACCCAGCCCCCAACGACATCTATTTGCGTGTGTTTTTTGGAGTTGATACCCTGTTGGATGGTTTTGAAGGGAAACGTTTTAAAGGAAAGCCAAAAGAAGAAACACTTTTTGGGGGGTCTGAGAGCCCGCCCATTCCCTTCAGCTTTCCTTGGCCGAATACCTTTTGTCGCAGACCGAGGTTGACGGATACAGTGTGATACATGCGCGTTGATCAAAAAGTCCTTTACATGGGATGACCATTGGGTGAAAACCACGAAACATATGAAAGCGAAACAAAATGCCCATGGTCATTTGGGGGCCCTACGTGGAATATTGATCAACTCCCTGTCGCACGTCTTCGACGATTTCTGGCAGGTCCAATTGACCGAAAGCATGGACGCTGTGGAGCGAGAGATGATGTTCGTCCGCTGGGCCACGCCCTTGATTGCGCCTTAGACGCAGATGTTCTCTCAGGCCATCAGCGTCTGGGATTCATGGGTGATGTTAACCCCGGATTCATAAACCCTTGGTTGATTGATAGGGGGGTGTCCCATTTTAGTGGGGATTCATCACTTTTGGAGGGAACCCTCCCCTACTAATGGGACGGGTTTATGAATCCTGGGTCAACATTACTTGGCATGCTTCACGTGGGCGCTCGAACTGGGAAATGATGCAGCTTGCATCAAACCGTGGATGGACGAAATCCATTTCGCACTGCCTAAGAATTCCTGGAATGATGATTTCCCTGCAAATGCCAACAAACAATGGTTTATCATGGTCGCAGCCTGGTGCGAAATGGATTTCGTCCATGAGTTTGACTTCAGCTTAGTGGCGCGAGTATGGCTCCAAGGGGTCGGAGTTTCCACGGCTCCGAAACGGACAAGCCGAAGCAGCCCGACAGTTCAGACACCCCCGGGACTTTGCTCGAAAGCCTCGCTGAGAGACTCTCAATGAAAGTATGTTCATGGTCAGGAAATACAATGGGCAACATCACCGCGCCTTCTGTTCAGAATCCGTTTAGAGCTCAGTCTTTCCCAAAGGGAATTTTGTGCTTTGTGACGTAATGATTTTGTTGCCACAGCGGATTGCCCAAGTCGCAGCACCCGTGTGGCATCCTTTCCTTTACCCGTCATGAAGTGAACAGCAAACCAAAAAACCGCCTTGGCTTGCTCGTGGCTACGCGGCTGAGCGCGGGTTTTCCTGTGGCCTTCGCTCCGACAATTCGGGGGCGTGGCTCGTGGCTCCGCGGCTGAGCGCGGGTTTTGCCCGTGGCCGGGGGCCGGGGGCTGCGCCGAGGTGGGGATCTCCAACTGCATCTTCGCGAGCTTCACGGGGCTCAGGGTGGCCCTGGACCAGGCTCCCGACGCAAGAACCGGCCGGGCGGCTTTTTGACGCAACCGGCCGAGCCTCAGAAAAGGGGCGTTGGTTTCTTTTGTGTTTCCCCTGGCAGTTGCGTTTAAAAGAAGGGAGCTGCAAAGGGGCAGCCTCAAGAAAAAAAACCCAGATTTACAGCTGGGGTCAGAAATTCTGAACGCAGCTTGGGGTTTGAACAAATATATGGTTGGGGGATTTGTTTTTGTATGGGAAGCCGCGCACCACGGTGTTCCATGGTGATTCGGGGGGGGGGTTCCCCTGAAACAAGACACACCCATATTGTGGATGGACGAATCCGTTCGCACTACTTTCAAACCATGGGAATCCATGGTTGGTTGCTTGTTACAGGGTAGAATCATTCCAGGGTTTGTAAGCGTTGTAAGTGAGATGCACAGCCAGGCATACGCCGGGACGGATGACAACCGCGCACAGATCATCCTCAGCTCTCGTAGCCACATGCCGCCTTGCTGAATACGAGGCCAAGCTTCCGCTGGCCCAGTTGGAACCCCGCCGAACCAGGCACAAGTTGTTTTGTTTGCTGTAGCATCTTATGGATTCTCTTTGACACGATATTACGACGCTCCAAAATGATCTCTGCGTGACCCGTGCTTTCAGTTCGGACCATGGTCAAAGTTCCTTGTGGTTCATAGGAACCGGGAGCTCATGGATCACCGCATCGCCATCCTGCGGGCACGCCTGGCTGCGGAGACCCCGGGCTCGCAGGCGAAAATCCGACGTGGGGCCTGCAATTCCCGTAGATTCTTGCGTGTCATGTGTGATATGCTGGCTAGGTCCCCCAGTGTTACCAACTTTTTTGGGGGAGGGGTCCCCTACTAAAATAGACTACAGAAAAAAAGGTACACTTATTCTAACCTCTACTGGAGGACCTAGTTGGTGTGTTATTCAGTGTTTTGGCATGTTGTTGTTATAATTGTATACTTATTAGTAACGTGTTAGGTATTATTACGTATTGTCCTGCATGATGATTATGTTGTGTTGTTATGTGTTATGAGATGTGATTAGTATTCACTATTATTAGTATTGCTATGTTGTATGTTAGTGATGATTGTTGTAAGTACTATTTGTATTGTTATTGAGTTATCGATATTAATATCATTAATATCATCATCATGTGTTCTATTATTATGTGGTGTTATTTGTAGTATGGAATGATGTCATTCTAATCTATGATGCTTGTTGTTATTGTTATTTGTGACTATTTAGTGTTTGTGTATGATGACATACTATTAGTATTATAATCGTTTGTGGTTGGTATACTGCTTTTTGTCACGGCCGACGTAGCTTAGCCTAGCTGCGTCCTGCACCCTTACCGTTTTCGGTTAGGAGTTGTGAGCTTCTTGCACATTCACATGGAGCCCCTCCAAAAGGAAGATCACATTTTGAGCGTACTCTTTGTTGTGGGGTTGGGTATGCTCAAAAGGTTGAGGGTTCTTGGAGCCAACACCTTGAGATTCATTGTCTTTCCCTCAAACCCACGAGAGAAGCCGAAAGCGCCTTGACAACTGGATTGATAGTTAGGGAGCTGTTCAACTCCAATATCAAGCGAGCCTTTGAACACATGCTCCTTATGCAAGCCACGGGAAACCACTGGACAAGAAAATTGAGAACCCAACGGAATCGGATGGCTTGGGAGCACTTTGGTGGTCGACGGTGTGTCTTTACCAGGGGCGTTGCTGGGAAGACTTCAAGTGGCGTTTGTTCCCGTTTTGGGCAAACAGAGTTCCAAGGTTCCCACCAGACCTTTGGACGACAGACTCCAAAGTGCGCTCTTGCACATTGAAGGTGTTTGAGCCAAATCCTCAGAATCCCACCAGGTTGTTTTGCTTAGAGCTAATTGACGACATGAGATCCTTTTTTTCTTCTTCTGATTTGACAATAAATTGAACTAGCCCACTTACATTGGTTAAGCATCCGATGACTTTTCCCTTGTGTCGCTCAATCATGTGTGTGGGTGTGTGTCGGCCGGGAGTGAGGGGAGAAGCGGGAGAAGCATAGCAAATCTTTTGTGAAGCCACCGAGCCGCTGGGGTTTGACCGGAACTCTCGCAGGCAAGGGGCAAGCCCACCCCCCTGGAGGTTCTGGATTGAAGGGAGAAGTGTTTTAGGTGGGTGAACGTGGCGTTTGTGTTTCCGTGTGCATGTGCATCGATCTGTGCCGTGTGTGTTTGTTTGTGTGTGTGCGCGTGCATGTGTCTGTACGTTTGTGAGTGTATTCCGGGTGCAGGTTTCCATACGCCCTGTACCGTTTGGGTGTGTTTCCGCGTGAGTCTGAGCGCATCTGTGCGTGTCTATCAGGTGCAAAAGACCAGGGACCGCGCGCAGCAGTGGCCCGGCTCCGTCGGGGCTGAGGTTTCAAATGTTTCAAGGGCTCATTGCCATCGCTTACGCTGGTGAAATCAAAGCACGGTGAGTGAGACCCCGAAAAACGAGGTCCAAGATTCGAGTAGCTCTGCAAAGTGGATAAGAACGGCTAGATCTTTGTCAATTCGTAGCAAACACATGGAGTTGGATGAATTGTTAGATACTTCTAGCGCTGGAACTCTCAAAGAAAGGTTCCTCTCTTGGTTCTTTGATTTTTTCACGAGTGTTTCGTAACGGATATCGACAGGACCGCTTCAGGCTGCTCTTTCTGAGACAGGGTCGGGGCCCACATCTCCATATCCGCAAAGGTTTCTGATCTCAGAAACCAGCCGTTTGCCAAAGATTCAAACACTAGGTATTCAATTTCATTTTGCGGGAGTGCTTTCCCATGTTGCGACGGGGGGGGGAGTCCTGTCAAAGAGGCGCAACCAATTCATTGTCACCACGCGAGGAGAAGAATGCCTCTCATAAGGATGGGTATATGTTTGTCTCGTAGGAGCGGGAAACCGCAGTGCAGCGTTTGTCCATTGTCCTTCCAATGTTAAAGCTCAGGTACCTGATACAGCACACCGCCCACATGCGACAGCTCTCCAACATTGTGAAGACAGTTGGTGCCCACCTCAGATCCTTTCGGCGGCGCGAGAAAGGAGTTGAGACACGGAATGGCCATGTTTGCAAATATGATTCCTGGAGTCGTTTGGGGACACACGTGTGGTTTGCAATGAGGGTGCTTGGAGAGCGCTTTCGTATATGGAGTTGGGTAACTTCCAACCCAATAAACCCATGCCAATCAAGGCCCATCTCGTGAAGACAACTTGGCATTTGCAGGGCCAGTACAGGCCACATCATTCCCGGGAGCACCTGCCCCACGGGAGCCTGCCAAATTCAATTTGTTAAGATGGATTTGACCTTGCTCCGGCAGAAAACTCATGTGGCTTCCTTTTATGTTTTCCCCAAATTTCTACCCGAATCTTCGGAGGCCCCACGTCACGCCTTTTCCCGCGCCCAACCAGAGCCAGGCTGTGGCTTCATCGCCCTTTTGGGCGCCCTCTACATCGCCTTTCAACTCACTGCGGCAGACAGCCACATCGCGGCGCCTCGGTGCGGTGAGTTTTGCTTTGCTTGCGCAGCTTGTCAACTGACCAGTAGTACCCAGTGCCCTTTTACCGTTTTTTTTTGGGGGGGAGGGTTACCCCCACTAGAATAGACTACAGAAAAAAAGGCTACCCTTATTTTAACCTCTCTACTGGAGGACCTAGCTGAGTCTGTGTTTTTCGTTTTGTATTGCTGAGGTTACCCTGCGAGGGTTGGTCAAAGAAAAGCCAACAAGGAAAGCCACCATTGGCGGTCCCCGCAGTTTATTGTGACGCATGTCACATACCCACGTACTGACACAGAACAGTGCAACACAATACAGGACGTGCCAGGCAGTGCCACTCATTGACATGTGCACACATATGCACCCACACACCCACACACCCACACATACACACAAATGCCAATACATTTGCACACATTTACACACGTATACCCACAAACACAACTATACACTATGCACACTGATATATATATATATATATATACATACATATTGAGACATACTCATGTACACAAATATACACAGATATGCACACATCTACACACGTATTCACACAAACACACACATGCACATGCACATCCGCGCTTTGGCGGGCGCATAACACGCCACTGCGAAACCCGGGTGCTTGAAGCTTTCCGCTGAGGACATGGTTCAGTGCTTCCTGGGCGCGTTTTTTCTGACTTTCGTCGCCTTCATCTTTGTCTCCTTCGGGCGCTTGTGGCAAGCAATGTCCAGCTGGCTGCAGGAGCCAAAGCCGCAAGGGAAGTCTGGACATGGAATCGGGGAACGGCGCCCTTCGAAGCTTCTTTGTGTTGCCCTTCATGGGAAGCCAGCCTAGGTCCCCCAGTAGTGCCCTTTTACCTTTTTTGGGGGAGGGTTCCCCTACTAAAATAGACGACAGAAAAATAGGGTACCCTTATTCTAACCTCTCTACTAGAGGACCTAGCAGTGTTGGCACCCATTCAAGGCAGTTGGTTTTCTGGCGGGTCTTTCGATTTGTCTGGATTCCTGATTGTCCAAACAATGTCAATCAGAGAACTCATTCACCCTTCAACTCCAAATTACGTCCCAAAGCTGACCTTTTGAGTTCCAACTTTCTTTCTACCTTAAGTCACGGTTCAAAAATGGATTGTTTCCAGTTCTTGTTGTCTAACTCCGTCACCTCTACTTTTCGAGCGGGGCCAATGCCTCGATCCGTATGGGACCAATTCCCCTCTTGCCGTTAAGGACCTTCCGCTCTGGAAGTCTGCGGTGGGTTTGTGCAATGCCACCTGGGCGCGAGCCGCGCTGCTCTGCCTAGCGGGGCACCCAGCGTACGCATTGGGGAAACGAACGCTTTGGCCTCTTCCTGATTGTTGTTGGGAAACATTTTACATTTTGATTATTGTGGTTTAGTGGGAAATCCCCACTTAGCTGTTTTTGTTTTTGTTTTTTAAACTCCCCTTCTGCATCCCCTTCCAACGTAAACCAGGTCTTCCTACTTAGAAAGTGATGAAGGGAAGTTTCTGAAGGAACCTTTCCAAGTATCCAAGGTTCATGTGACTGGGGGTGACGTTTTATCTTAGTGGTTTCGCAGCATCATTGGTTTATGGCAGGGCTGATCTGTTCGGAATCGGCAACTTGCCTGACGTGGGTTGTACTCCAAGATGCTCCAAGTAAGTCCAAGTAGGAAGCGAGCCAGTGAGTCTGGTTTCAACGATAGCCATTCACGAAGGGAATCTATTTCCTTCACAAACTATTGTGCTTTGGTGGCACGGGTAGTCCAGGTTTGACCAAATGTGACCCAAGTTGCTCTCGGTGATTTGCATGTAGGTGTTTAAAAGTGGGGCTCGCCAAATGGTTTTCATTTGCAGGTGCTACCGCTGCTGCCGGCAGCGGTGCTTTTGTCTGCGGTCAACCAGGCGGAACACGAGAGCACAAAACCCTCCGAAAAAGACACAATTGACAAAGCCTGATGTTGTAGAGAGCCAGGAATCTAGCGCAGCCAAACAGGGCTATAAATGTCACAAAACCTAACAAGGCCCATACTTTTGGGGATCTCTTTTAAATGTTTGGTGCACTGAGTATGAACCAGAATCAAGCACATTATGTTTGGCAGCAAAAACTCAGGTAGATACTTGCATCCCCCTGTGGCCACAGGGGGATAGATAATTTGCTGATTCGTACTCTTGCCCGCTCGGTTTCCTGCCCGATGTAGAACTCAGGAAACAACTGTCCACTCTGGAAGGGGCAACGGCACGTTCCCAGGAATCAACGAGGACCATATCTAGGTCCCCCAGTAGTGCCCTTTCTCACCCCTTTTTTGGGGGAGGGTTCCCCTACTAAAATAGACTACAGAAAAAGGGTACCTTTCTAACCTCTCTACTGGAGGGCCTAGATATTGCTGCCAGGTCATTGACTGGCCTGGCAGTGAATTTCCCTTTGCCTTCTTTTTGACAAACAAGGGCTTCCTTGCAAGACGGTCAGAGGCACGTCTTGACCTCCAGTCATGGCCGGGTTTCCTACCGTTTTGGGAGTTTCACTAACAGTTACCAGATAGCCAACCCTCAAACTGTGTCTCTTTGCTTTGGCCGCTGAGTTGGCTCATATGGTTGCCGCCTGCACATATTGAATACCACAGGTGTTCAGCGCACAAAGGATCAGCGGGCCTGCTGACAAGTGGGCACCATGGCTCGTTGTGCTATTTTCAAGAATGCATGGGCTTAGGGCTTAGCTTGAAGTGCCAAGTATCTCATGCTGAGCCATCCACTGTGAACTCAGGCTTTGAAGGCCTATCCCCCTCTGCTTCAAACACCCATCTGTGGCAAATGTCTCATGCTGTTGCTCACCAACGCAGCAGCTTTTAGGGAGGCTTCAAACGGAGCTTCGGTTCCTTGTCGGAGTTCCCTTTGGGCTGTCCGGGGGTCCCACCTGATCCACAAGCGCGCGCGCCGCGATCCCCGTACGTGCCTCAGTTGGTGCGTTGCGCGCGCGGCCTGCGCGCGGAGACGGACCGGCGGTGCCTGACGGAGCGCAGCTGGGCTTGGGTTTCTCCTTTTAGAACTTAGTGGGAGACTAAGATTTTGACTTTAGACTAGCGTCTAAAGTTCGTAGGAGTGGACTAAGTCCAAAAGTTAGCTAGACAAGCCCCCGTCATAGGGGGGTTGGATCTTTAGACTTTGACTTTTTGGTTGAAATCAAGAGGGGTTTTCCACCAATTAAACCCCCCCCAAAAGTTTTAAACTTGTTGCAGGGGGGTCAACAGCAACCAAGCGAAGGATCAACCGCCTGAGGAGACTTAGCTTCCCCAGGAAGCCTGAGTAATTACCGGACCCTACGGAGCAAAACCCAATTACAAGGGCAGGTGACTCAAATCCCTGGCTTTTGTGGGTTATGGATGTTACCCACTTACTATGTACAATGCCCCGGACAAAGCATGGGCGTGCCTTTCAGGGCCAGTTTCCACATACAAAGGGCCCTCAAAAGACACACGCACATGTCGAAATTGGCAACTTTTTTCTTTTTTTTCTCCGGCCCTTATTTCAGGGTAATTGTAAACGCTTCGCGTTGCCCGCCTCGGCCCAGCCTAGTTTGAGGGAAGGGTCAGGAACACCGAAATCCAGTGTTGGGAAGGTCCGAATACCTGGCTCCAGACAAGTCAGACAAGCCGGCCTCGCCTGGTTGGGCTGGGCCACAGGCTAGTCTCAGACACATCAGATAAGCCTGCGCTGGGCCTGAAGCTAGTCTCGGGCAGCTTGGCTGGACCTTGCTTGCGTGGGTTGTTGGTTGAGCTGGGCCTGAAGCTAGTTTACGGCGGGCTGGGCAGCCGCACTGAGGGGGCTGGGCTATGGCTGGGCTGGGCCTGAGGCCAGTTTCAGACACGTCAGACAGGCCTGGCCAGCGGACTGGGCTGGGCTAGACGCTAGTTGAGCCCAGGCTGGTGAGCAGTCTCGGCGCTAGATAGGCTGAGGCCTGCGAGTCTCAAACAGGGTGGGCTTGGGTGGGGTTGGCTTAGGCGGGTTGCTGGTTGGGCTGGGCCTGGGGCTAGTCTCAGCCACAAGGCTGCGAAGCCATGGGTGGGTTGCTGGCTGCTGACCAGCCGGACTACGCTGTTGGTTGCGCCTGGAACTTCGGCTGGGCGGGCTGGGCTTGGGCGGGTCGCTGGATGGGCTGTGGCTGGGTAGCGAGTTGGGCTGGGCCTGAGGCCAGTCGCAAACACGTAAGACACGCCGGGCCTGAGGCTAGTCTCAGGCTGGCATACCTTGAGACCAGTCTCAGACGGCCTGGTCAGCCTGGGCTGCTGAGTAGCTGGCATAGCTTGAGACCAGTCTCAGACACGTGAGACTGCCAGTGTCAGACACGTTAGACAAACCTGACCTTGGCACGCTGGGCTGAGCCTGTAAACTAAGAGCTGGGGGCCGGTAGTGGCTGGCATGGTTTGAGATGCTCCGGGGCCTGGGCTGGGCAGGCTTTGGTCTGGGCCTGAAGCTAGTCTCAGCCACGAGGCTGCGAAGCCCTGGGTGGGTTGTTGGCTGCCGGGCAGCCGGACTACGCTGCTGGTTGCGCCTGGAACTTGGGCTGGACGGGCTGGGCTGAGCTGCGCTTGGGCGGGTTGCTGGATGGGCAAGGCCTGTTTCATACACACTTGGGCCTGAGGCTGGGTGGCGAGTTGCTGGCTGGGCTGGGCCTGAGGCCAGTCGCAGACACGTAAGACGCCAGCAGGCGGGCTGAGGGACTGGGCCTGACACTAGTCTCAGGCTGGCACACTTCGAGACCAGTTTGAGACTGCGCCGAAGGGGCTGGGCCTGCTGGATGACTTGGAGCAGGAGGTCAAGGCCTGGCCAGCCTGGGCTGAGTTGCTTGGGCAGCCGGACTGAGGGGCTGGGGCACGTCGACAGGCTTAGTAGCTGGCATAGCTTGAGACCAGTTTCAGACACGTGAGACTGGTCGTTAGCTTGGGCCTGAGGCGACAGGCCTGACCAGCAGGCGGGTTGCTGGTTGGGCTGGGCCTGAGCCTAGTCTCAGACACGTCAGACCTGCTTTTCAGGACAAAAAAGCAGGCCCGCCGGACAGGATTTTGGGCCAGACGACATGGGTGGGGGGGGGGGGGGGCGGGTGGGGGGGGGGGGGGGCGGGTAGCAAAGATTTTTTTAAGAAGAGATCTGAGCGCCCTTGGCCCCGTTGGGGCCGAGGCGAACTTCAACCCGGACTCAAGCCAGCTTCGACGCAGTTGGTTGCTCTGATCCCCAAAGAGGGTTGCTCCGCACCAAAACCCGGCGGACCATGCGTTGAGTTTCCTTTGGCCCTCGACCAAATTTCGGCTGTGCTCCGGCCTTTGTGTGCGTTGACGTTCGGCACCATGCCACCACCCCGAGCACACAATTGGTGAGATCTTAAGCATACTTGTTTAACCTCCCACCAATTGTGTGATGCAAATTGGGGATCTTACTTGAATCTTTAACATCTCACAATTGGGAGATCTTTACTTCGATATTATTTTTGCAAATCAATGTTTTTCCTCTCCCCAGTCTTGTTGGTGCATGCTAGGTTTGTTTTTGTTGTCTGTCAACGTGTTGGTACATGTTACTCAGTTCAGGAAGTGATCTAAACTAAAGACTCGTTCCAGTTTGCGTTCAAGCGGATGTCAACATGAAGCTGGGCTTGCAAACAGGTCCTGATTTTGCCGTGCTATCAAAAGGTTCATCGCCGGCCTTTGGATTACATGTGCCAGACAAGTCGAGTGCCTTTCACGGCCGTTGAATACTATTCCTCCAGTTGGTAGCGGGAAATCTGCGTGGCTGCAGTTCTGGGGCACGATTCTTATTCTAGACGGGCTTAACAGGTCACACGGCCCGAAAGGTATGTTAGGCAAGTAAGTTGATGCCGGGTGGAGCAGACTTCTGCTTTACCGTGGCTTTACGCGGGAGGGTGGGGAAGTAGCACTTGAACCAGCCATGTGGAGGGTGCAAATTCATTGGTTTATTTTCAGCAAGGCCTAGTTCAGTTGTGCCGCGATACCGGTTTTCCTTGGTATAAGCGGGTTTCGCAGTTCTTCATCCAGCAAAGAGAATCGATCCTTTCTTCTCACCTTGGCTGCTATCTGGTTGGATTTTTACCTTCAACTATCTGGGACAACGTGTATCTCGTTTCCCGCCAATCATACAAATTCAACAACTTGGAGAACGCAGGCTCAGCAACTTGGCACATGCTCTCAGGTTACGCTACATTGGCATTGGTGGCTTGGACATTTGAACGGCAGTTGTCCATCAACGGCCAACCACCCGACCTCCACAGCTCCAAACCAAACCAAACCAAACCACCTGGACAGAACCTCGTTGCCGGGGGAACGCTGTGTTTTTGTTTGCTTACTTCTTAAAAACACAACTTTTCAACTTTTTGGGTAACATGGGCTATATGTCTGTAAAAGATTAACTTCCCCAGGGCTTGGAGTTTGGGTCCTGAGGCATGCACGGGCTCTTTGTGGCAGCTGCTGGCTGGGAGTGGGTGTCGCTGGCCTCCTGGGCCCCTCGCGCCCAAAGGGGAGACCTATCGAGCCGCAAGCGATCGCCGTAAACCAGCTGATGTAGAGTTTGGCTCGTCTTCTTTTGGGGTCACCCCCAAAAATCATCATGGAGCTTGTCTTTTTGTGCTGTAAAACCACAACAAAGGGGTATGCTCAAGAAAGGACACACCTGTATTATCTTGCGAAACTGAAAGTGTTTGGATGTATTTTAGGAAGCGTAGCTTTTCCCCGTTTCAAAGGGAAACCACAGGATTGCTATCATGAAACATGTTGCTGGCTGAGTCGAACCCTTTGAAGCTTCAGATTGGACAGCTTGCGGCTGGCTTCGCAACCCATGCAGAGCTTTTGCTGGGGCCTTTGAATCCGGCCATGCCTTATGTTTTGTTCTTTTGTTTTTCGCGAATTGGACAGGCAGGCCACAAGTGGGTTCATGATGAGCACCTGCAACAATATGAGTTCGAGTTTGGACAATGCTAAGCCATGATGCCTTCCCAGCTCGGTGATTGGGAATCCTCATCAGTTGCTGTCTCAAGCTCTGGTCTTTGTGAGTCTCCTGTGGTTGTTGGCACGGGTCAATCTTGAGCCCGGGTCAAACACATGCAGAAGGTATGGTTAGATGAACTCGCAAGCGAATTGTGTTTTTGAAAGGAGATCCATTCCAGAGAGACTGAGTTTGGGAGGACGGGACTGGAATCACAGAGGTTGCTTGGTGAAATTGAGGAGAACCAGGCATAGTGTTGTTTGTAGATTGAATGCAATTTCGGCAAGGCAGGTACTTGGAGTTTCGCATATTGCGCTTTTGGTCAGAGTCTGATTGTCTGGTTGAAATGTGTTGGCGTTTGGCATCGAGGTTCAACAAATTGGCGACACTGCCCATTTGGCCGGTTTTTACAGGAGTTCTTTAGGCCGTTTCGGATGGTCTAAACTGCTGCATGTGTTGTTTCAAGATGTATGGTGAAATGGTGAAGCCTGTCCTATCCTTTGGGGAAGACTATTTTTCGGACTAACTTCGATAGTATAGCACATGTCTCGAACTCAGGCTTCCGGTGTCGGGATCCTTGATTTGGCTGTGCATGTCTGGATGGGAAAGACTTGAGGCTTACATCATGGCAGTTGTCATGATGCTGTACAAGGCTGACGACCGCTTCGGGCGGTCGTGGGCAATTGGGCAGGTCTCCCTCTCATGTCACATAGGCGATGTGTGTGTTTTTTGTTTTGTTTTTTCTCTGAGTTGGTCATTCCAGCTCCTTCCCTGCGTATCGAACCAGCAAGCAAAGAGAATGGGGAGTTCTCCCCGATCTTTTAGCTTGCAGGCTTGTGGCAAGCGAACATCTCGGAAAGGGAGCCGATTGCTCTGTGGTTCCACGCTCGGAGGGACGCTGAAGCACATTTCTGCTGTCCTTTGGTGGGTAAACCCACCAAAACGGGTCAGGTGAGAATCAGAATTCGGAACACATGGCCTGGTGCAATAGGGCGGCCCATGACGCCTGAAGACACTGGTGTGGATTTGTCCAGAATCTGGAACGCCCTGTTGATGCTTTTCCTTTGTTTGAAGGGTTTCCCTTAAACATCAACCGACCAGAAGAAGGGTGCCCTTTTTTCACGGTCACTGGGATTTGGAGAGCTTGTTCCATTTGGCCTTTGGTGTTGGGGCCCAAAAATCCGGCTGGTCAGAAAAAGGGGAGAAGGTCCCCTTTGGTGCTTCACCCAAAGAGGTTTGCAGGTAGAGGTCACAGTGCTCCTTTGTTCTTGGAGGGTTCCCTACCCCACCCACCCCACCCACCCCACCCCACCCCACCCCACCCACACCCACACCCACACCCACACCCACACCCACACCCACACCCACACCCACACCCACACCCACACCCACACCCACACCCACACCCACACCCACACCCACACCCACACCCACACCCACACCACACACCCACACCCACCCACCCACCCACCCACCTACCCACACCACCCACCCCACCCACACCACCCACACCACCCACCCACCCACCCACACCACCCACACCACCCACCCACCCACCCCCACCGACCAGTCTAACGCAGCACAACACTGCGCAACCTCCACACCTCCAAACCACCCGATTCGGCTAACCGCCGCAAAAGGAGGGAAGCTGTTCAACCCGAAACAGGGTGCCCAAAGTTCGAACAAAGTTTGATCCCCCCCCCCGGCCGAAAACCCTTTGGGAGGTGACCAATCGAAACCACCCGTTTCAAGGGAAGCTTTTCAACCCAAAACACGGTGGCGAGTTTTAGATCGCCCCTGGTAAGCGGAGGTAGAGCAACGAGGGACGCTTTTCAACCCATTTCCAGGGTGCAAGCCCAAAAACCCAGAGGTGCCCAAATCCAAGGGAAGCTATGTAACCGCGCTGAGCCAAGCCGAAATATCCATGGGAGGTGATCCCGCTGTTCATCAACGTCTTGTTGGCATGGCTCAACTCCGTGGTCGAAAATTTGCCCTTCGCCGGGATCCTGGGCTTCACCTACGCCGCCGGCATGGCGCCCTGAGCTCCAAGAGTCAGAAGGATTTCCACAAATAACCTCACTAGCCTGGCTGCGCACGGATGCGTTTAGTTATGTGGTTGTTTGTCCGTGTGTGTGTGTGTGTGGTGTGTGTGTGTTTGGACGTGAACTCCCAGCCCCTTTTGAAACCAAATTTGAGGAAGGTAGTCCCCAACGTGCAAACCACCAAGCCAAAAGCACCAAGGGGGAAGCTGAGTGTTCGCTGATTTAATACATGGTCAACTCGCCCTTCACATGGTTGTTGTTGGGAAACATTTTTCATTTTTGTATATTTTGGTTTAGTGGTGGAAATCCCCACTTAACTGCTAAAAATTAAACTGTTGCTCCCCTTCCAACGTCAGCCAAGTTCAGGGGGGTTGATCCATACCTTTTCGACGGGTTTGGTTCAGGTGTTGTTCATGCTCCCGCCGGTGCCCGGGCCTCCAATCTATCTTTTTGGCGGCTTGGTCATCTCCAAGCACTGCCCCTATGGCTTCTGGCGGCTTGGCCAGTTTTTTTTTTGTGTGCCGGTTTGGGGCGTGGGAACAGGGGTTTCCCCCAAAAGTTTCCATCTGCCACTTTTGGGAAGTTAATGGAGAAATCGAACAGGGGTTTGCTCTCCACTCGTCCATTAACTTCCCAAAAGTGGCAGATGGAAACTTCATGAACTCCGACCTGATCAAGGGCATGTTTCCTGTATCGTGGCCTTCCGGTATCACAGTTGCAATTCCAGCCTGGTTTGGTCCTGTTCGGGGACTCAGGGCTCCCTCCCTTGGCCAATGGCTCCATTGAACCAGGGAGTCCCCTTTTTGGTGGTCTTAAAGGAAACCAACAGCAAAGCCAACTTGGACGCAGCGAAGACATGTTTGTCCAAGGAGTCATTCATTAATCGCGACCCTGTCAGATACAAGTCGCCAGTTCACCTTTTTGTTGTACGGGAGATACAAGTCGTTTCTTCCGCGCTGTTTGCGCTGTTGAACATGGGGCCAGCTGATCAGAAGCAATCAAACACCCCAGCTCGGAGTTCCGGCCGTGAGGACAATGACTCCAATTTCAGAACTCGCGGCCAGAGAATTCGTCTTCTTTCATAGATCGATCTCCTGGAGCCCCAACTCTTTCAGCTCACGCGGATGCGAAGCAAGGGGTCTCCCGATGCGAAGCGAGCTGTGAAGCTGTGACCGGGTTTTGGGCATGTGGGAATTCATCCTCAACATAGTTGTCGTTGGGAAACATTTTACATTTTGCTTGTTGTGGTTTAGTGGGAAATCCCCACTTTACTGCTAGAATTTCAATTTCTCCCCTTCCAACGTCAACCAAGTTAACGACTCTCGTGATTGATTCAGTTTCTATAATAGCCAGCTGTGTTGGTTTTCTCGATGTCGAGGGATTCCTGAAAAGGAGGGGAAAGTTACCTCTGGAATAACGCGTGTTTCTTTGAGGAGCTGGCTCATTTGGGACAGTGGAACCCTTCCCTCGTAGTTGCGCGCACAAGCCCCCAAGCTTGCGTGCCTCCAGGTGGGGATGCGGGATTTGCATCCTTCTTTGCGACCAGGCTGAATTTCAAGATCTTGCGGGTGAAAGGACAACAACTACATGGATCTTGTGTGATTCAGACCCCTGGGCTGGCAGTCTAGGCTTGTCGGACTGTCGCTATACCCATCAAAGAAAAAGCAACTCGTGTGGGTGGGACATGTGCGCTTGCCGTATTTTTTGCGTGCGTGTGTGGGCTTGTTTGCGTTTGGGCTTGTTTAAGTTGTCATTGGTTCTGTTTGTGTGTGTGAGAGTGAGTGTTTGTGTGTCTGTGTGTTTGTGTGTTTGTGTGTCTGCGTGTCTGTGTCTGTGTGTCTGTGTGTCTGTATGTCTGTTTGTCTGTGTGTGTGTGTGGGTGTGTTTGTCTCTCTTTGTACTCTTTCGGCCCAATCTCCAAATGGGATGGGTTTCTCCACCAGAAGACCTGTGCATGTATACATGTGTATATGTATATATATATATATACACATGTACACTATTATAGACATGTTTGCTGTCAGCTTGCAACTTCAGCCCGGGGAAAGCTTCCCAGCAACGCTTGGGAGCTTCCATGTTTCCCACGACCCGTGCAGAACCATGACCTCAGCCTTTGCACGCCTTTGCAACCAGAAGAGAGACCCAGCCGCTCCGCCCCTAACCCCCGGCTGCGCACCCGCCCCCGCTCCTATTGCTTCATGTGACTGGATATTGGACAGCCCTTCAGTGGAATCGTGCTCATGAAGACGCTGGACGCCCACTGTAAATCCGCCACATGCCATGCCAGATGCCCTTTGCGGGGAGAGGGCCATGAACAACATCTAGGCCACAAGTACCCCCAGAGGTGGTGTTGCTTCTCGCCGAGGCATGGTATTAAAGCTTACAGCCTGCGCTATCCAGCAGAAAATCATCGGGGAGTCGCTCGGAATTGGAAATGAGGGTCCGGGCGGGCTTGGGAAAGAGCTGAGATGGTTCCCACTACCCCCAAGCACTACCCCCGAGCGGAAATTGGGGCAATCATTTTCATAGGTGGGTCAAGGGTACTGGAAACCATCCTAGGAAAGATCATAGCCCAGTCCCCCCCAACAACTGTTTTTTTCCATGTCCAAGTGCTGTCCAAAAAGCAGTTGTTGGGGGTGATTATTTGGCCTCAGGATTTGCACAGTCGCGCTCTGGATTGCGATTCAGGGCTTCTGAAATTGTAATAATCGGTTTGCACTCGTCCAAACGTCGAATTGGACGATTCACTTGCTTGCTCTTCAAATCTGACTCCCTGACTCCCATTCCAAGGCGACCTTTAGCAGGATCTTCCGCTTGAAACCGGTGTGCTGCCAGGCATGAATGAACCGGTTGGTCTTGTGAGCTTAGCCGTGCTAGATGCCCCTGAGCCGTGCTAGATGCCCCTGCCATGTCCAAACATGTCAGTCTTTCAGGGCAAGTGCGTACTCTTCTTGCTTGTCCAGTAGCCTATCCTTCGTTGAAAGGCGCTCGCCAAGTCTCGCAAAAGATTCTGCCCCGCACTATGCAGGGCCAACACTAGGATCAAAGGCGCATGAATCAGTTCAATACCTGCATCCCCCAACCACTGCTGGTTGGAAAAGACTTAGGATTTTGGACATAGGAAAACGTACGTAGTTAGGGGGTGCTGGTAGAAAGACCGCTTATTGCCTGAACCATGACTCCGTTCCGGCCTTGGAATGTTCTTTCCTGCTTGCCGAGGATTTTGGGGAACCGCCAATGGATCCGTCACGCAGTCGGGGTTCATAGGCGGGCAACGGCCAGTCAGTTGCCAAAGCTGGGTGTGGATTTTAATACTTTGGATGGACGAAATCCTGCACCACCTCAGAGACCCTAAAAGGATGATTCCCCTGCAAATACCAACGAACAATGGTTTCCCATGGTTTCCAAGTGGTGCAGGATTTTGTCCATCCACAGTAGGGGACTCTTTGGTGGACATCATGTAGGAAGGGATTAATGTCACCAACCACTTTTGAGGTGGTTGCCTATTTAGATTCATGGCCATATGTCGTAATCTTCCATGGATCATTTGTTTATTGTCCACACGCCCTAGTTGGTACCCAGCAACAATAATGACTGGAGTAAATCATGGTTGGCTCGCTAAACAGATTTGGTAGAATGCCAGAATCCTGAGCCCTGAACAAGCCAACCAACATTCAAGGTGATCCATGCCTTTCCGTCCACCCGGGAGAATCCCTTTTGGAGAAAAATGGGAATGGGTCACAAGTAAACCACCAGGGGATCGCTCCGTTTGCCGGGGTTTCATTTTGGGTACCGAGTTTTGACCCACACCCAAATGTTGTTTTTCAGGACCCAGTCCTTTCCGTTCACCAACCTGGAACCTACAGGAAAAAACCCATTGGAGGAAAATGTGTTGTTTTCCACCCCCCAGTCCCCGATCAAAGGTCCGCAACTCGGCGATGTTTGGGGTCGGATCACAAAGCAGGAATCGGTGATCACGATTTCCACGACTTCCAGGGATTGCACAGGGATCGCAAATGGCCGAGTCAATTCTCCCTGCAGCCAGAGATCTACGCCAAGAGCACCGCCTTCTCACTTTCCCGGGCCTGGGAGCTTTACCGGATGAGAAACATGAGCTATCGGAGTGAAAGAGTTTTCAAATTGTTTGTTTCCTTTGAGTTGTTGTTTTGCGATCACAAGATCTGCTGAACAGCGCGACCCTCTGACAAAAGACCGGGTTCCTTTTCTTGGGGTTCCACCTGGTACGGTTTTTGTGTGTGTGTGTTTTGTAAAAGATATAGCCATTGATGTAAGTTGTAATGATTCAAATGGAGTTATGACCATGACACATTCGGGGCCCGACTTCGCTTGGGCAGGCCATTCATGCGCGCCATCGAGCAGGTCCTCCGAAGGCACGGCGTTTTCCATCGCTGTGAGTCTCACAGGGTTGGCCGCCCACGGAAGCGCACTTAGACACAGCCCTGAGTTGGAGAAGGGTCTCCGAACAGATTCGTTTTGAGGATCTTATGGTGATGAAGTACGAACATGGTTTGTTGTTGTGCTGTGTTTGTTGTTGTGCTGTGTTTGTTGGTTTTGCGGTTGGTTTTTCCACAAAGCAGATGAGGCGCAGCCCGTGCGCGCGGGCGAAGAACATGTCCATGCCGGTTATTCGCGGTTTGGTCTTGGAAGGCCAGGGCTCTGCTTCGGCAAGTGCATGATCCTTTGCGGCGGGCCGGCCGCGAGCTCAGGGGCGAAGTCGATTCAGTGAGCTTCGGGTCAGCTGCTCGGTTTCAATCGATTTGGCTTTGAAGCCCTTCTTCTAGAGGGTAAAGGGGAGACCAACCCAGACGGGGTAAATGGTAATGGGAAACCACCAGCAGAAGAAAACAAACACACCACCGGTTCGCATGCAAACCACCCAGTTACTCGGTTGGAGGGAAGCTGATTCATTAGGGGCTTGGAAGGGAGCCCTTTGGGAGCTATCCAAATAGCCTGCCTTTTTTCAAAAAGGTGCCCCTTTTTGTGGTGGTACCCTTTTTTGCGCAACCAAATTTAAACAAGGCACCCTAACTTGTGCAACCGCAAAAAGGGTGTCTTTGTGTAAAAACAAGGCACCCAAATTTAGACAAATCATACCCTTTTTTGGTGCCTTCTTTTTGGTGACACGCCCCACCGGACCCGTGGAGGCGTTTCTTTTTGGAGGGGGGGGGGGGGATGACAGCGACCATGTCCATGTGGAGGCGTTTCTTTTTTGAGGGGTGGGGGGGGATGACAGCGACCATGACCATGTTGCCAGACCCGGCAGGCGCGGCTTTGGTGTCTTCTGCGTGTGGCGGGGGGGGAAGAGGCGGGCGAACTGCGCCCCCGCAGGCACGAGTTTGGCTGGAGCAGGGCATGTGGCATGTGGCAAGCGGAGTGATGGGCACTTCAAAAGCAAACCGCATGAATACACACACAAACATCCCATCCAACAACAACAACAACGTCAACAACAACAACACACGCACGTCCTTACTTTCGCACTTCGTTGGGCACCCATGGAGTCGGTCTTGGAGCCAGTCGCACTGCTTATTCTGCTACGCCTGGCACGGGTGTCGTTGCCTCCTGGTTTGGATGGCTGGCGGGCACGCAGCAGATTGATCGCTGCTGGCATCACTTGAAAAATATCATGCCCAGTGAGATGAAGAGCCGCGGTCCCAGCGGCCTGATCAACAGTCGCCTGTGGACGAGAGCATACCAATTCTTGTATAGATGGTCTTTGTGTGCCTGACATATTAAACATGTGGTCTCTGTGGCAAAGAGATAAAACAAGCAGTGCCCGATGCCAGCATGTCAATGCATGAAAGCTGCTGTTAGATACAAACGAACTTTTTGGCACCTTGCGGCATGCTCCTTCAGCAGATTTGAATGGTAAACGCGCGTTTTTGCGCGGGTCCTGCTGAGCGTGCGACCTTGTTTTTGGGTGCCCTTTTCTTAAAAAGGCACCCAAGTTTGTGTTGAAAGAGGGAGCCAAGTTAGGAGCTACCAGGAGTTCCGTAAGGCCCTTGCTTTCAATCCACCGGTGAAGGATTGCTTTGGATTGGGATAGCAAAAGCTAGGAGTGTCGATTGTGTCTCTCCCTTTACCTGGCCTAGCTCAAGACTTTTAAAATGGAGTTGCTCACTCCCTGAGTTACCTGGACTTTATACTTGCTGGGAACACCATGTTTAGTGGCAAACAAAGCCATGCTTTGGCGCATTGTGCTTGGATGCTAGGACTCTAAACTTTTTGTCAACTAATCGGTTTTCCATTAAACCACTAAAGAGGAGCAGATTTCGCAGCCAAGGTTTTTGTTTTACCAATCCACCAAGAGTCTTCATGACCCTTTAAAAAAAATAGGTCCATGACCCCATTTAGGGTCATGACCAACCATTTTTGATTCGGCTCAGAAGGAGACGCCAGGCAATCAATCCAATCCATGGTTGTCGTTGGCAAACATTTTACATTTTTGCTTATTGTGGTTTAGTGGTTGAAATCCAACCACTTAACTGCTAAAAAATACACTTCAGCTCCCCAAACCCAACGTCAACCAAGAATCAGAAAGTGACAGATTGTGATTGGGACCGACCATGCTGCGGGCTGTCGAGTCCCGCCAGTCCTGAGGACTGGCCAACGTCAGTGCTGGCTGGAATTCTTCGCCTCTCTCTTCTACAATGCACCATAGGCCCTGCGGCTGTTCGCTTTTCGCTTTTCGCTCTTAGGAGTTCGTAGCTTTCAAGATGGGTGTTTTTTTTTTGAGGGCGCCCTTTTTCGGTTGCTTTAAAAGGGAAACCAAGACCGCTTTGGGGTGTCCCCTGAAAGACACCCATATGGATGTATGACAAAATAGGAGTTCCACAAAATGGTTGGTGCTGTTCTGGTTTCCTTGACTTACCAACCAAGATGGGTCCACCATTTTGAAAGGCTAAGCCTTCCCTGACATGGCTATCCCCCCCCCCTCAAGAGCGGTTGGTGGACACAAATCCACACTATGATGTCAGCTTCCACACCATCAAATGAAGTCAGACCGGCCACCAGAATGTGTGTTATCGAGACACAGTGAGCGACTACAAGACATGGGTTTCTACATGCTTTGATTGGGCCCAGTTTGCGGATGGGGGGGAGGTACGGGGGAGGCGTGGGGTACTTTGGTGATTGTCAAGTGCTACCGATAGTAGCCATGGTTGGGGAGCCTGCCACCTTTTTGTTGACTCAGATAGTATATGTTTTGCGCACTTTGCTGTTGGATTTGTTTGTGCAGCCATGCGCTGTTTCCATGGTATTTACCATGGTTGTAACGCACTCGATGCGATACGATCATTTTCTTTCGGTTTCAATCGATTCATATTGTTTGGAATTGAATCTGTTTCGGTGCGAAACGATGCGATTCCTGCCAGTTTTGTTTCTCGTTGCGATGGGGTTCGGTTTTTCTTGCTCGTTCATGAGCAGGCAAAGCTTCACAAAGTCCATTTGTTAGGCCCTAACAAATCAATCTATGGCAAGGTTTAACCTCTGTTTGATGCACACGGCCCGGCTCTGCAAAATCATCTTTTTAGGCCCTAACAAGTTGATTTTGCCCGAAGGCTTTTGGGAAGGGCTTTGGCCACTATTATCAGGGGTCCCTGAGGCGACCCCCCAACAACCGACCCCCATTTCAAGGCAATTTCACATTGATACCTCCAAAATACTCTTAACCACTCGAGTCACACTTATTATGCTGACACATTGCAGAATAAAAAAGTAAGACATTGTCCTTGGGAGGACAGGACTGGTCGCAATAACATCAGAAGCAAACATCCAAGAAGCACACAAAGGGTTCCTGCATGCCGGCCCTGACTTTTTCTACTGGCATACCAAAAAAACTTGAAAAAGTAACGACACGCTGTTGAATAATGTCCAGAAACAACACAGCAAGAGGTTTTGAATTCAGGTCTGTCCATAAAACCTCGTGATTTACATGGATTTAAGCAACCGTCAGAGCTCCCCCTCTCCCCACTCCACCCCCACCGCTCTCTCTCCTACATTCCCCGCTCGACCCATGCCCAGCCCCCTAAATTATTGGGGGGTTTGTTCTCGGGGGGTCACCTCAGGGACCCCTGACAGAAAGGCTTCCCCAGCCTTCCTCGGCACAGTTTCTCCGCCTCCTTCGGCTGAAGTGGGTGCCCAGCCTGGTGCCCTACCTCGGCCAAAAACAGGGTACGATCACCCCCCCCCCTGAAAAAAAGATCCCAAACAAAAAGGGGGAGCAGCCCCAAAACTCCATGGTAACCACACCCCCACCAAAAAAAAGGGCTGAACCATGGTTTTCCAGGGCCACTCTGTAGCAATTTTCCTTTAGCTCAGTTGGTGAGCGCTGCTCGTCGGACGAAGAGCAGCGGCTGCTCTTCGGACCTTCGTCCGAAGAGCAGTGGGTCCTGGACGCGCCTTTGCTCATTTGCTCCTTCTTGCTGCTCTTGTTGGTCTTGCCCTTGGTGTCGCAAGGGTTTTTGCAGAAAGGCACGGGCTTTGTTTGCAAAATCAGTTTGTTAGGACCTAACAGTTGATTTCTGCAAGGTGTATGCTCTGCTTTCTTGATACACTGCTTTGTGCTTGCTTGACAGGGCCGGTTCTGTTTGTTAGGGCCTAATAAATTGATTTCTGTAAGGCGTATGCTCTGCTTGCTTCGTGCGCCCGGTTCTGTAAAATAGAATTGGTTTCTGCCAAGGTGTAGCCTCTGCTTGCTTCGGGCAGACACAAAGCAGCTGCATGCCGAAATTTCTTCACGCTTCGTGTCCTACTTCCCGGAGCGGTACTCGGATCAGAGCCACGCAAGTTGGCCAATGGCCTTTGTGGCCTCCAACCCAGGCGTCACCCAGCGCGTGAAGATGGAGGTGGAAGGTGCGAACGGCAGGCAGTTTTGGGTGAACCAAGGCGAGACTTTGAGCCAACTGGCCAAGAGGTGGATCTTCTGAGCGTGGAAGGAACAGAACGGCCGCCCCCGCCGTACATGCGAAGTGGATGCGCTTCGGAGAATACTCATTTGTTTGTTCTATTTGGGGATCTTCACCCCACAGAAAAACAGAAAGTTGCAGAGCAAGCGCTGGGCTTTCTGGACCTCAACGTGCAATCCTTCTGCACCTCCAAGCTCGCTCACAACGGTACCATGACAATCCCGCCATAAGTGGAAAAAGGCCAGAATAGAGAAGGATGATTTTCCAGGGCCCTTTTGCAGCAAAGAGGTTTTAGCTCAGTTGGTGAGTCTTACCTTTCAATCCAACGCCAGCGGGTTCGAGTGCCTTTGCTCATGTACTCCTCTATCTGTTAGGGCCAAATTCTGCTGCAAGGTGTTGCTCTGGCTCCGCGCGGCTAACAAGTCGAGTTCTTGCAGACTGCCTTTCGTTTGCTGGGCGGGGCCCGGCTGTGCAAATTCAATTTGTTCGGCCCTAGCAAAACCATTTGCGACTTGTTTACCTTCTGTTGCTTGATGGTCTGGTTGTGCAGAAAACAATGTGTTAGGGACTGCTAAACCATCCTTGGCAATGGCAAGGTGGGTCTGAATGTTCGATTTGCCTCGGTGTTCCCGAACTTTTGTTCGGTTCGGCGCGATACGGTTCCGCCGGTATCGGTTCGATGCGATACGGAAACGGTTCGACACGGTTCTCGGTCGTCACATTGTGCTTGTTTGCTTAGTTACCTACAACGCGCAGGACAATTCAGATTCCCATAGCCTTAGAACCGTTGAACCTTATGGTCGCACGGAAATCAATCCAATCGCAGAACCTTTGGCCGCCACAGTTCGTTATCCTTTGGATGGGGCCAAGGCAGCAAAAGCAAAGATGTTGAACCTGAATGAGCCCGCGCCTTGAAGGGGCCATCTTATCTTTAAAGTGACGACCCGTGTGCAGTTGACGCTTTGTGTGTTGGCCGGCAGTAGAAACAACACAGCAAGAGGTTTTGAATTCAGGTCTGTCCACAAAGCCTCGTGATTTACATGGGTTTAAGCAACCGTCAGAGCTCCCCCTCTCCCCACTCCACCCCCACCGCTCTCTCTCCTACATTCCCCGCTCGACACCCCGAAATTATTGGGGGGTTTGTTGTCAGGGGGTCACCTCAGGGACCCCTGACAGAAAGGCCTCGGCACAGTTTCTCTCGCCTTTTTCGGCTGCAGGCCCAGTTACTTGAACTGAAGCATGGTTTTCCAGGGCCATTCTGTAGCAATTTTGCTTTAGCTCAGTTGGTGAGCGCTGCTCGTTGTCCGAAGAGCAGCCAGCTGCTCGTCCGAAGAGCAGCGGGGGTAGGTTCAAGTCCTGGACGCGCCTTTGCTCATTTGCTCCTTCTTGCTGCTCTTGCTGGTCTTGCCCTTGGTGTCGCAAGGTTTTTTGCAGAAAGGCACGGGCTTTGCTTGCAAAATCAGTTTGTTAGGACCTATCTGCAAGGTGCGTGCTCTGCTTTCTTGATAGACTGCTTGTGCTTGCTTGACGGGGCCGGTTCTGTTTGTTAGGGCCTAATAAATTGATTTCTGCAGGCGTATGCTCTGCTTGCTTCGCGCAGGCACAAAGCAGCTGCATGCCGAAATGTCTTCACGCTCCGGAGCGGTACTCGGATCAGAACCACGCAAGTTGGCCAATGGCCTTTGTGGCCTCCAACCCAGGCGTCACCCAGCGCGTGAAGATGGAGGTGGAAGGTGCGAACGGCAGGAAGTTTTGGGTGAACCAAGGCGAGACTTTGAGCCAACTGGCCAAGAGGTGGATCTTCTGAGCGTGGAAGGAACAGAACGGCCTGTGTGGGTCCAGGAGTTGGGCTGCAGCTGCGCTTTGGCTGCCGCAGAAAGCCTGTCTGCACAGTGATCCCGTGACGGCTGACTCCAATGTCGGCAAAGCTGACCGTCTGATCATGGCAGCCACCGCCGTACATGAGAAGTGGATGCGCTTGGTGCCCCGAACGTCGGAGAATACTCATTTGTTTGTTCTATTTGGGGATCTTCACCCCACAGAAAAACAGAAAGTTGCAGAGCAAGCGCTGGGCTTTCTGGACCTCAACGTGCAATCCTTCTGCACCTCCAAGCTCGCTCACAACGGTACCATGACAATCCCGCCATAAGTGGAAAAAGGCCAGAATAGAGAAGGATGATTTTCCAGGGCCCTTTTGCAGCAAAGAGGTTTTAGCTCAGTTGGTGAGTCTTACCTTTCAGATCCAGCGCCGGCGGGTTCGAGTGCCCTTGCTCATGTACTCCTCCCTCCTGCTCTTGTCGGCCTTTTCAAAATCAATCTGTCAGGGCCCATTGGTTTCTGCTGCAAGGTGTTGCTCTGCTTGCTCCGCACGGCTAGCAAATCGAGTTCTTCCTAGACTGCCTTTCGTTTGCTGGGCGGGGCCCGGCTGTGCAAATTCAATTTGTTCGGCCCTAGCAAAATCATTTGCGACTTGTTCACCTTCTGTTGCTTGATGGTCTGGTTGTGCAGAAAACAATGTGTTAGGGACTGCTAAACCATCCTTGCAAGGTGGGTCTGAATGTTCGATTTGCCTCGGTGTTCTCGAACTTTTGTTCGGTTGGTGCGATACGGTTCCGCCGGTATCGGTTCGATGCGATACGGTAACGGTTCGACACGGTTCTCGGTCGTCACATTGTTGATCAAATCATGTTTACAGGCAAAAGAATCCGGCCAACACGTGTTTGTTTGCTTAGCTACCTACAACGCGCATGACAATTCAGATTCCCATAGCCTTAGAACCGTTGAGCCTTAAGCCTTATGGTCACACGGAAATCAATCCAATCGCAGAACCTTTGGCCGCCACAGTTTGTTATCCTTTGGATGGGGCCAAGGCAGCAAAAGTAAAGATGTTGAACCTGAATGAGCCCGCGCCTTGCAGGGGCCATCTTATCTTTAAAGTGACGACCCGCGTGCAGTTGACACTTTTTGTGTTGAGATGGATGTTTTCACTTTGGCAGGCACTTTGCCTGTGATCCTTTCGCTCATCCCTTTGGCGCTCACGGGTAGCTTCTACCTGCGCCGGGATGAGAGCGAGGTGCAGTCGCTCGTTGGTTTCTCCTTGTATCATGGGTGCACGTTTGAGGCTGTCCACTGTTTTTGTTTTTTAATGGTTGATCTTTCTATGAGGAAAGGTGCGTTCTCTTGATGAAGCAGGCGATGTATGGTGACGTGCATCCTCTTTTTTTTTCGACAAGCGCTGTTGGTGTTTGTTTTGAGGGAAGCATGGCCCTCCCTCCATGGCGTGATGTTGAGCATGGCCCTATCCACACGGAGGGATTTTGGGGGTTCTGATTTCAGGAGTTGAATGGGAGATCAAGGAAGTTGTTGAGCACATGCCATCCAGCGTTCCCAATTGCGAACCGGCCACCCGCCCCATCAGGCTGTTTGTTGGGTCAGGGCAAGACCCGTGATGCTTCCATTGCTGGAATGTGAGGACCGCCAACCCAGAATGCCAACCCGTTTTGACACACATGGGTTTGTTTCAAAGCGGGGGGACCCCTTTTGAAAGGGATGGTTTTGAAAGGGAACCAAAAGGAACCAACCACCTTGGAAGAGTCCCCAATCTTGAAAAACACCCACGAATTGTGTCTACCTGCACCCTTCTTGGGTCCTCTGTCAAGTGGGGTGCGCCATCCCACCCAATCACATGGGGATTGTCCCCAGAGCGCCTTGTCCTCCCAAAACAGGCATGTGCTTCCTAAGAGCGAGGGGATGCTGTTTCCTGTCAGGGTGTTGGCCCAACCCCGCGCCCGAATTTGTGTGTGCCGTCAGGTGTGGGCGCGAGCTGGCAATCTTATGTTGGCATCTCAGGATTTTCGGAAGGCAGTTGCAAGTAACATGTTTGGACTTCACCTGTCGGTCAACAGAAGAATTAGACCATTTGCATGAACTGCATGGTCCACGTTGGCATTGGTCATGGTTTCAAGGTGGCATCTCGTTGCAACCAGTCATCAAGAAGCTGACATGCAGCTACCTGCAAAAGCATAGAGTCCAGAACATGGTCCTAGTATCGCTCTAAAATCGTGGATGTGCAGCCAACATTGCCGTTGAGCTGGCAAAATTACTGGTCGTCTATGATTTGGGGTGCAGGGAGTAGACCCATGCTGGCGCAGAGGCCGATCCAGTTTGTGACAAGCGCGGAGGCAGCTGAAGTGGTGTGGTGTTTGTTTCATTCCACCAGGCTGGGTCTTTTCTTTTCGGGGAACCCTTTCAAAGGCGTGTTTTTTCCTTCTGGTGTCACTTTCACGAGAACCGCATTTTTCTCAATGTTGCCCCAAATTCCTGCTTTGGTTGCCCGGCGAGGACAAGCCCCCCCGCCCCCCCATTTCTCCCAACATCTTTCGCCCTTTGGAAAACGCATGGCTCGCTTCAATCAGCGTGGCTGCTCGCTGGCTAGCTGAGCCACAATCAAAACCTGGGTAGATGAAGGTTAGCAAGGGACAATCCCAATGATAAATAGCCGCGCCCGCCTTCTTAGTTCTTTACATGGTTCTGGGTTGACCATTTGTGTACGTTTTGATTTGGTTCTCAGCTGAGGTTCTCCCTCACGGCGCTGGTGTCCGTGACCTTTTGGGCAGGCATGGGATGGGCCATCCAGGATCCGACCTCTGGGCGGCTGGGGGCGGGGCGCGGATCTGAGTTGAACGTTCCGGTCAGAGGAGGGCCCAAGTTCAACCGGGTTTTTTGGCTTGGCGTCCAGGACATGTCCGCTACGGACCCTGGAACCCAATTTGTTGGAACCCGCACCCAACAGATTGTTGGCATGTCGAAATTCTCATTGGACTTACCTTGTTTGATGGATCTTCGTTTTGGGGTCCAACTCATGAAGCGCACTTTTTGACGTTGGCATATCCCGACATTGTACCCTGCCACGAACAGGATGTCTTGAATTGAACGACGCGCGGGGGCCATCGAGCGCCAACATTGATGTCAATGTCGGAATCTGTAGATCCTCTTGCCATAGGCGATGGTATGGAGTAACGGAATGTTACTCGGACAGTTTACAACCTGGCCGATCAAAGTTGGGGCGATTTAATCCTTGCAGGTACCACCGAAAACTGCTCAAGCCATCCCGTGGAGACCAAGTCCGGCCATATCCTCCAGCCAAGCCATCACATTTCAGAATTGGGGCATGTTGCTTGGATGTTAGGACTTCAACTTTTTGCCAACGAATGGGTTTTCCATTTAACCACTAAAAGTGGAGCAGACAGCAACCGAGACATTTCAGGACACCTTTGACAAGTACAATGACCAGCTGAACGCACCAAAGGCGCGGCGCTGGGTGTTGGCTGCTCACAACTGGCATCACGGCAGTGTTGGGAACTTGTTGCAGGGAGCAACCCGTCCACTGAACAAGTGCATCGACTAGGGGACTGCAAGAAAGAAGAAGGAAAAAAGGGCGTCCCACTTTTTGATTGTTTGTTGTTTTATTGCTATTATCTTACTTGTTCTTGTTATTACCAGTATTTTGTTACGGGTGATCCCCAATTTTAAGACCCCATTTCCGCCCAGCCGTCAGCGGTTGGATCGAGGTGGAGTTCGTAGACCTGGACTGGCTGGACCACTGTTCAGGCGGATGGGCTCAGAACCTGGACATGTTCCTTCGGGAACCACCTAGCTTCCCCAGCAATTGGTGCCAACTTTTACCCATTCTTTTTTTGGGGGAGGGCTCAACTACTAGAATAGACTACAGAATACCCTTAAACTTATTCTAACCTCTCTACTGGAGGACCCAGCCCCCTGAACCACCCAAGCAAAGACCTTCCATTTGCTGAAAAATGAATATTTTGTCGATTTCCCCTTGCTTGTTTTAAAAGGACGCTACCACGTTCTCACTTTTTTTTCCAGGGACCTTAAGCAAATGGAAGAATGAGGGTACAAGGGTAAATGTGTGTAAAGGAGATGTTTAAAAAAGAAATAACATATCCCAAATGCAACCCTTCGTTCTTGTAGGTACCAGTCTCGGGCAACTCTTTGCTTCGTGGTGTGGATTGGTTTGGATTTGGATTCGACCCCCGAGGGTTTGGTGGGTAAATAGGAAAACACCCCAGAGGACCTCCAAGCCACCGGGAGGAAGCTAGGACTTGTAACGAAAGGCTGGTAATATCGGAAGGAGTGCCAAGCAAGAATGAACACATGGTCGGTTCTGTTTTGGTTTCCCTTGTCAATTTGGCCCGATACGTGGGTTCCCAAAACAAGGCATGCCCAGATGGGTAGAAAGAACAAGAATAGCACGAAAGAGCTGAAGTTTCTTGTTCGGCTACATTTTCCCCTGAAGGCCCGAATCGTGATTCCAAACTGTATCTTTCTTGTTTTTGTGACAGAGCGCTGAATCTTTATATGGGAAACGTGGCCTGTTGGTCGCAGCGAAGACCGAAAGCGGGTTCTATTTTAAACACATGGCCCGAATGGCCCACAGGAATTCCCTCATTTGGCGGGGGGAGCCTGAGAAATTGGAAGCCAATGATTTCCAAGAAGCTTGAAGTTGAACCTCCCATTTTCTGAACCAGAGGCTGGTTTATGAAGAATGAAATTGGGTGCAAGGGTCCGATTTAGAGGATCTCAGCAAGCTTAAGTCGAAGTGTTTGCTTCTGATGTGAAGCCCGCATGTGCTGTGTATCGTGTCGTAGGACGCTTGGGGAGGATCAAAAGGAAGGGGGCTCTGGTCTTATGGGTGCTTCTCAAGACAAGCGACTCCCCATTGACAGACGTCAAGCTGCCAAGAAGAACAACTATTTGGAGGGATTGCCTTCGTTAGGAAGCTCTCTGAAGGACATCAGTCAGACCTTCTGAGCGGCATGCAAAGCTTGGAATGCAAAGACCCATTCCATGCCACAAGAAACCGTCAAAGAGCGTGTTTTCTCCTATCATCATTCCGGATTGGTTGGCAGGCTGCAAGGACAAAGCAAAACATGTGCATCAGCTATTTTATCCCGTGCCTGTTTCCAGTGGGCCGTCCAAGGGACATTTACCAGAAGTGCTAGAAAACCTAGATGAGGTGTGACGTAGACGCAGTTGATCCTGGGCTCACAGGAATTCAACATGAGATAGCCCTCCAAGTGCTTGAATTTTTCAGAACCATCCAAAATAAAGATGCCCTGAACAAACAGAAGGGACATTTCACTCCCCTCTACCCGACAGGTTCTCAGAAACCTCAAGAACCCCTTCCACAAGGCTTCTAAAAACCTTTCCAGGAGGAGGGGTTGAAGGTGTGCTCCCGCTTGCCGCCAGACCGCATCCGAGAGAAGTGCCAGCTGAAACGGTCAGACCTACCACGCTGCATTGCGCGGCTTGGTCGCCGCCGATTAGTGCTTGATCTATAATAAGATGTACTCATGGTTGTTGTTGGAAACATTTTGCATTTTTGCTTATTGTGGTTTAGTGGGAATCCCCACTGAACTGCTAAAATTTAAATTTCAGCTCCCCTTCTAACGTCAAACAAAAACTGTTTGGCTGCTTTGAATGCGTCATGCTCAGCACTGCGAGTCTCGACCATGTGATGTTGGCATGTCTCAGCTTGGCAACCCGACCAGCTCTCCAAGTTGAGTTTGCAGGCTTTTCCTGAGACATGTGTGTCGTTTTTTGGGAAACCCCTTTTTGGTGGTCGTAAAGGGAAACCAAAAGGACAACCACGATTTTTTTGGGGGGTCCCCTAAAAAGGACGAGCCACCCATGTGTCTACAGCCAAGGTTTTTCCACTTCGGTGGCTCCTTTCTCATGGTCGCAGCGGCTTGTCTGTGGGCTGGAATCAGCGGCACGAGGGCCAGACTCAACAGCGTCTCTAAATGAGGTTCTGTCCAATCCCCAGTGGTTTGTGGTTTATTTGGACGGGTCGTGGGGGGGGGGGCTCCATCAATTTGCACAAAGACTAGGGAATCGCTGTTTTTTACCGTGTCCTTGCGAGGAGAAACAAGACATGTTTGACCAGGGCTCAAATGAATGGCTTCATGTCGGTTGCTTTGCATCCTGGGCATCTTTGGGACCGCCTGCACGGTTTTTAGTTGATTCACCATGTTCACCTGGAAATGTATTTCTCTGTTCCAGGCACTCAATCTTGGCATTCGACACCGCACATGCCTTTTGCACACCGATTCACATCCTGAAGACTCAATGTACGTGAGACACCATGCGAGAAAGACGCCCTGAAGACTTAAACCCAGGGGTTGCCCTTTTGGACATCGCACCTGGGCATTTGCGTCCAGTTTGGGTTCACAAAACTGTTTCACGCCGTGTCCTTCTGGCCGCGCCGACTCGAGGTGGCCCAGTTCTTCTTCTGGCGTGCAGACAACTGCTTCGGCAGCTTTAAGGCCGTCGGATCGGAAAGAGCTGATCGGAAAGAGCTGTAAGGAGAATATTTCCCCGTGGCCTCGATATGTTGTATATATATATATATAATATATATATATATTGGGAAAACGGTTTGGTCGGATATGTACAAAAAAATAACTCTTTTTTTGGTCGCCGTTGCTTGCCAATGTAACTTGGTGCTTTGTCTCAAGTCTGAAGTGGTGACACGTCACGGCGGCAAGGAGCTCGAGTAGGAAGTCTGAAGTCGAAGTTCGTCAGGATCAGCCTTTGTCATGGCCGGCCTTGAATGTGCGACCAGGCCAAAAGCGACCCTTTCGAAATTGGAAATGGCTTTTCCAATAGTAAACCTACAGAAGATCTAATGATGTCTTGCTCAGGAATAGCAACCCTTTTCATAGAGGCAATGCCCTCAGAGTCCTGTTCAAGTACATGTTGCTAGTCTCAGCACAGCTTGACAGCTCACTGGGAGCAACAATGCCAATCCTGAAAGCCTGCTATCCTTGGTTGGCACAGTGGCCACGCCCATTTCGTCCATTGCAAGACCTGCCTACTTTGTCCGCCTCCAATGCTCCAGCTTGGTGGGATTTCCTTGGCAATTCGACAGCTGAGGTTAGTCAATTCCAGCCGAACATCAACTTGATGGCTTTGGGACACAAAATTGAACAACATACCCAGTTGAGCTTTGTTCGGTTTGCCCCAACCCCTTTTTACATGGCGACGATCTCAGGGACCTCTTATTGTAGCAGTTCCGGGGAATGCTTGTACCAATTCTTCGCGTGTGTGTGTTGAGTGGGATGCAGCCCATGCCCGGAACGGCTCTCGCTTGCCAGGCTCTCCGTGTAAGGCCAGCAGCCCGCAAAACTGCAGCGGTCAATGGCCAGAACAGTGATGTGTTTTCACTTTCAGTCGGCTAGGGAATATGCGGGAGAACATGTGTATAGCTGTAGAACCAGAGAAGAACATGCAGTTAAAATGCATAGACCTGACCTTAGCCCCGTTTGGTCGCAACTTTCGCCTAGAGAAGAGCAGCAAGTGATATAGTATAGCAAACATGAAATAGATAGAGAGAAAACACAAGAGAAACAAAAAGGAAAACAAAGCAGCAACATAAAAGAATAACAAACATAAAATAAACGCAACTAACACCTCCTACATAGGAGGCACCGAACAGCCGGTCGATCCCCCGCAGGTCACGGACGATATCGGGGATCTTCACTGGTGGCCCTGGACGGGGAATCCGAAAAGCGGGGTCCTCGGCTTTGGTCGCGGCTGCGGCCGAAAAGTTGGGCTCGGCCTATGGAGGGACGCGGGGAGCTTGCCCCTTGGAAGCTCTGAAGGGACGCCGAAAACACATGGAGGGACATGGGGTTTTGGGACATGGGGAGCTTGCGGAGCTTGCGGTTCCGTCTATGGAAGCTCCGAAGGGACGCCGAAAAGAGAAACCAAGAGAGGATAGAAAAGGACAGAGAATATGGGGGTTGATCAATATTCCATTGAAGGCCCCCGGTGTCGACCAAGGGTAACCTGTCCAGTTTAGTTTTCCCCAAGGGTATCCCATGAAAAGGACTTTTTGATCAACTCTTACATGGGGAGCTTACCCAGTAGTTCGTCGAAAACTAGGGGGGAATGGGACGCATTTTTTCCATGGAAACAAGGGGAAGTCACAAATCGGGGAGCTTACCCTCTCTCAGACCATGGAAGCTCAAAAAAGAACAGCCGAAATTGAAGACTTGATTCCATTTGGAGAGGCCCTTTGGAGCTTCCGGCTGTTATCAATCTTCCACTTAGGGCCCCCAAATGACCAAGGTAACTTTGCCCATGTGGGAACTCTAATATGTTTAGTGTTTTTTTTTGCAATGGCCATCCCATGTAAAGGACCTTTTGATCAACCCCGGGAGTCACAAATCGTCGCATGTGGAGAGGCAAATGATGAAGTTTGATCGTGCCTCACAGCATGCCTCGGTCCTTTTGAGCAGGAAGCATAAACAGGTGAGACAGGTTTGGTGGCTGTGCAACCACAGCAGGTCACGCAACTCCATTTTTTCCAGCGGTGCCACTCCAGATCTTTTGGTTCTCGATCGCAGCCGATGGCCTGTTGACGAGAGGTTCGTTGAGATCAATTCCTATGGGTTCTAAGAGATTGGGCGATGCTGCACGCAGGATGCTTCTTTGCAAGCTGGAACCCGTTTAGGTCTGTATTAGGGTCCCTGATCGCCGTGGGAAATTGGGCGAATGTGAGAAGGGCAGAGCTGTAAGCCGGCTGCTTCCTGGCAATTCACTGCCGACGGTCGACCACCTCTGATATCAAAACCTTCAGTTGGACCGTCAAAAGAATGGCTAGCCGGAAAACCTCTCGGAAGCCGGGATTTCTCATCGATCATCCTGCAGGGTTTTGAGCCAGTTGGCTTTGTGCTGTAAAAGATGTGGTTGTTTTTATCGTGCGTTCCTTGATTTGTCGGTCATCACGCGATCGATGAACAATGTGAAGGGATACCAAGGGCAGCTTGCCTGAAGAAAACGGCACCTTCTCATCATGAGGCTGTCAAATTCTACCGATGGGATTCGTGCGGAGGTTCCCAGCTGTTTGTGCGGTCAATTATGTCCTGCATTTGTTGCACTTTGCTGTTTACGCCCCGGAAACAAAGCACAAAAAACAACACAGACGGACAAACACATACCCACCAAACAGATTTCAGAGTGGAAAGGTAATAGGTACTAATATGTATATACACATATCTGTATATGATATATGTATGATATATATATATATATATATGTATAGAGATATGCATGTATACACCTTTCCGTGGTGGCTTTTTTTCTCGCCGATTTAGGCGCCATGGTCAAGCTCCCGGGCCTGGCGGGCCTTGCGCTGGTCTGCGTGGCGCTGCTCTTTCTGATGGTCTCGCGGTCCTGGCGCGCCAGGCGCGCCGGGCAGCGCTCCCATGCTCCGATGTGGTGGGCGTGGGCGTGGGCGTTGGGTTTGAGCGGATGGTTTGTACCTGGAGTCTCCTTCTGACCCTTAAAAATTGGTTGGTCATTAAAATAATGGGGGTCATGGACCTATGAACCTATTTTATTTCGGGTCATGGAGACTCCAGGTGGAGAGACGGAGGATAGGTTTTAGATCGGGAAGGGAAAAGAAGAGGTATGCACCTTAGGATGATGGCTGTCCTTTCTAGGTTAGAACTAGATGGCACTGGGTTTAGCTGTTCTTTCCCATTTACCAGGGATACCAAAAGGACACATGAGCCACAATCAAAACTCGGGTAGATGATCCGGGTAGTAAGGGGCAGTCCCAGCCAGAAATAGCTGCGGATGTCCGCCTTCTTAATTCTTTAGTTCTGGGTCGACCATTTTAATACCGGGGTTTGATTGTGACTTAGGTGAGAGGAAAAACGGATGTCTTGGGATGTGACTGGGGGATTCGATTTGGTGATGTGTTTGGGGGGGTGTCTTTGCTGGCTCCCGAAGGCCATCCGGTTCAACTTAGCTTTTGTTAGATCGTTTTAGTTGCTGAAAGGTGGTTGGGCTTCCGAATTCCACCCACCAGTTAGTCACTTTTAGCAGGGGATCTGAGGGCAGCCCAGAAAAGGACCTGGTCGAAAACATGAGACTCGGGCCTGAAAAAGTTGGGCGCTGGCTTTGAGCAATGAAAAACCCACTGATTCTGTCGCATGTGCAGCTCGAGCGCTCTTTGGCACCTTGGCCTCTTGGAGGAGAGACAGTAGGCACCTTCCTGGGGCCAAGGTTTGTAGCGCCTTCCAACAGGCCATAAAAGGAATCAATGGACCCTTTTCCTATCAGAAGGCGTTTGAACGCAGGTGGGTGTTTCCTCATTCTACAGTGGTTGTCTGCCTTCACTCGAAGGGATTTATCCCCGATGTCAGGCACAACCGGAAAGCCTCCCAAGAGATGTGGGCCATGCTGGCGTCGGAGGAAGAGGGGTGGAAGGCCAGGCGTCGTGTTCGGAGTCGCGTGGGACGGGACGGGTGGGTTTGGGAGTTCGCATGGTGAGTCTACCTGGAGTCTCCTTCTGACCCGAATTAAACATGGTGGGTCATGACCCTAAAAAATGGTTGGTCATGGACCTATTTTTATGTAAAGGGTCATGGAGAGTCTAGGTATCCGTCTTTTAATCGGCGGCGATGGTGGCTCAACCTTCGGGAAGCCCAAGGCAAACCCTTTGGGTGCCTCGAAGCAGCACAAACAATAGGCCGCAAGGCGAACATGTGGCTTGAGAAGTTGCCGTGTGAGTGAAAGCCAAAACGAGAGAGAAGCCGGAGGTTTGTTACCCAGACCCCCAGGGCGTCGCTTGCTTTTTCGTCAACTTTTCTTGAGAGGTGTCCCTCTCAAGTCAAACACAAGCAAACATCTCATTGTTTCTTCTCCCGTAGCCACTGGTCTGGGTCAAAACGATGGCCTTTTTTCGAGACCTTGGAGCAGAAGCCAGTGACCCCCCCGAACAAAACCCCCCCCCAAAAAAAAAACCCACCCCCACCACTTGGCTGTGGCTCAATAAAATGTACCAAAATGGCACGTTGGCAAATGGAACCAAAGACTCAAAGTCTGCGTATCCCTACCTAGAGTCTCCATGACCCCATGATTTAGGGTAACGGCCGACCATTTTTAAAGGGTCAGAAGGAGACTCCAGGTAGCTCTGGAAAGTCCTGCGCCCCGCCCACTTCTGCGAACTTCCCCCCTCAAACTCCGAGGCCGCGCGGATCGAGCAAGCCCAGAGCTGGGTTCCGCCGCGCAGCGCTTCCTGTTCGCCGGCCACTGGGCTGAGAAGGTCGGCTTCGAGGTCCAGCGATTGGTGCCAACTTTTAGACTTCCTTTTTTGGGGGGGAGGGTTCCCCTACTAAAATAGACTACAGAAAAAAGTTGGCACAGTTAATCGAACCTCTCTACTGGAGGACCTAGGAAGAATGGAATGAGCCTTACAGAATTAGTTCCCCTGTTTCTTTTTTTCTCGCTTTTTTGGGGGTTCCCTTTGTTTTCCACTAACCAGGCAAAACATATATTTATTTATCTTTTTTGCTGGGGTCCTAATTCCAGCCTAAACCATCCAAATCCAACTGGTTTCCTTGAAGGGGACCTGGTTTCATTCAACCAGATTCCCTGTCGCACCAAGCAATAGCACGGCGCGAGAGGTCGCCTTCCGAACGTGGAACCGTTCGACGAAACCGGGAAAGCGGTCAAATGCTTTGGACCATTGTCCTTCTAAAGGGACCGGGTCCCGAGTTCGTCACTTTGTACGTTCTTCGAAGACCCATTTTAGTGGCAAACAAAAAGTGCGTTGTTTTTTTCCAGCAAATCCACTCAGGAATGCAAGTGGCTCAAAGTTTAAGAGCCGCAGGTGTGAGTCTACTTTTCGCCTATTTTCGAGCCACACTCATGTCAGAGTAGCAGCTTGCCTTTCTGGCTGTGTGCATTAGGGATGTCGAGGAAGGGATGTGAAGGGTATACTACACATCTATCCTATGTAGTTTGCGTTGCACTACGTGAGTCTGTTTCTGTGTTTGTATGAGCATATGTGTGTGTGTGTTGTGCTATGTGTGTGCTGTTTGTTGTGTAGTGGTGTGTATTGTGTGGTGGTGTGTATGTGGTTGCGTGTTTGTCGTTGAGCATGTCTGTGTGTGGTTGTGCGTACGTGCATGGGTGGGTTGGCTGAGTGGGGTGGACGGGAGTGTGTCTGTGTGTCTGTGTGTTTGTGTGTTTGTCAAACATTTCTTTCGAGTGGTGTGTGTGTGTGGTGTGTATATGTGTATTGTGTGGCCTATGTGTTTGTTCTGTGTTGTGTGTGTGTGTCCATGGGTGTTGTGTGTGTGTGTGTGTGAACTGACACTTCACAAAATGCTACTACTGTGACTTTCTGCTCTCCGCAACATGTTGTCATGGCTTGTGGACGGCAACCAACAGCAGCCTTGGGCCTGATCTAGATGTGGCCTCTGATGTCCACGGATCAGCTGTCTAATCATGTCATGGGTGTCTCTCTTGCCCAAAGCCGACCTTTTGACCTTTGCCGACCTTTTGACCTTTTGGTTTTCCCATTTTGGTCCATTTTCAGTAAAGGTCCCAAAAGGTTAACCTTTTATTTCCAGGTCTATTGGTATGTTTTGGTGTATGTTCGTGTATCTCCATGTAACACCGTGGCACCGGTTGCTGTGCCATGCCAGGGAGGGGGGTTCTGAGGTGATCGGAGGTGCCTCGGCCAAGTCCTTGGGAGACGATAGTGTGAAGAGCGGCGTCAAGAGCGCGGTGGTGTGCGCTATGGAAGGCCGGAGCCACGGGGTTTTTGCTGAAGGCCCTTTGGGGATAGTCCCAACCAGAAATGGGTGTGTCCTAATTTTGAGGCCCTTGTTGGCCTTGGATTTCCCTTGAAAACAACCACCCCCAAAAGGTACCCTCAAAAATGGACAGCCCCAAATGGCGCGGTCGCCCTTCTCGTTCGTGGATTTTGGTATGCAGCCGTTTAGTGCAAGCCCGAGGGAAAAGAGGGGCAAAGGTGGGCCCATTGAATTTTGATTTGGGGACAACCGCCCGGTGAAAGTCCAGTTTGTTCCAACATCATCCTGAATCCTTATGCCAAATGTTTTTTCTTGTAACGGTATAACGGATTGAGATTAAGGATCCCCCTATTTTGAGGAACCTGGGAAATGGAAGGACTTGGTTTCACTTGCTTGCGACTTCTTCAGCGCCATCGACGCTTGTCGAAGCTTTTTGTCGATGTCCTTTGGATTTTTCCTTTAACGCGCACTCAAAAAGAAGACGCCGCTGTATGTCTGGCGGTCCTTGGCTATGAACTCAATCCTTGGGGGACTCCTGAGCACATGTGGAGCAACATTCAGATCCTTCTGGCCGCATACAAGCCGCCAGCATCAAGGGTCCCGAGTGATTTCCTCTGCTTTCAAACATCACCTTTGGCCCAAGAAAGGTGAGGTTCCCGTGGCAGGGGTGATGGTTTAAGGCGAAATATCGGGAGCCCTGTCCATCTCCAGTCCTGCCTGTAGTAGCCTGTTGTGGTTCTGAGCAGGATCATGATTGTTTTTTTTTCATCGGATGAGCTTGATCGCTGACGAGTTGCTGCCATGCTTCAACTTCAACCAATAAAGATACCTGCTGAGTTGGCAATGTTCAAGCGTTTTGGGCCAGGTGTCCTTTGATATCAAGGAAGACCGACCGTCTTTGATTTGTTGTTGGCCAGTGAATCTGAACAGGTCAGTGAAAGACCTTCGAACAGTTCTTGAACTCGCAGCTTGAGCCTCCTGCAAAAGAAACACCCAGCAGCTACACTCCAACCAAGGGAGTGTGTGAAGAGTATGGACCCTAAGTTTCAGCGAAGTTTCGGTGGACACCACCAAACCATGGTTGCTGTTTTTTTTTGTTTTTCTCCGCGGCGGACGGGTTTTGATGGCCACATGCTCATTTAGCCTTCAAGGCTACAGCACGCCAGGTTTGGACTTGGATACTCTCAACTCCACCGACACTGTCTTAGGCAAGCGGGCATATGTGGATCTGCCGCAGCTCGTGTCCAATCTCATCGCCTGATGCGATGCTTCTTTCTTTGCAAACATCACTCTAGTGACTCTATATAGTGCTACCTTCCCCATTCTTTCCATGGATCCTTCTTTCTAGAACACCTCCGGAAACCCAGGGAAACGGCCTGTGTTTGACAAGAACGATGGCTGAAAAGAACGGGGAATCAACCCTTAGAATCACTCGTTCTTTCACGGTTTCAAATCTAACACTGGCGTCAAACCACCCAGTTGGCGTAGTGAAGTGTCGCAGACGGGCAGCGGCAGCCTGGCAGTCATCTCACTCATCTTCCGCGGTGTTTCATCCAGACTCCTGATCAATGCAGGTGTTTACCTCTTTGAGTGAGGAACTTATACTCAGTTGTGCAAAAACCTGTTTTCCTTGTTGATTCCAGAAGGCCCCACTCATGAACAATCAACACAGGGGCTTCCCTTTTTATCCACAGCCATTGGGCAACTTTCATCGGAAGCACGAAACATATAGACAGGTGCACCATGTGTCTCAAGTGTTTTTGCGGCCGCAGGCAGACAAAGACCTTTTGATGTGCTCATCCAATGGCCATGGGTCAGAACCTATGCCCCCCTTTTGGGGCGGATGAACACCCATGTTCCAGCTATTTTGATGTTCTCCGGGGGTTTCCTGGGTTTTGACAACCACAGCATGGGAGTCACCTGATGGATCAGTAGCTGGAGATTGGTAAGCTGTCCCAACCACACATAGGCGGCGCTGCGCTCGAATGATTTACAGTAGACCGGAGCCTTGTAGTGCCAGGATTTTACGAGGACTCGAATGCAGTTGGTTGGTCTAACTGCTGTGGTCTGAATAGAACCAGAATATGGCTTCTATGGGTACCTTCCCCATTCTTTCCAGGGATCCTTCCTTCTACAAAACCTCGGGAACTTTAGGGAAAGCACCTGGTTTTTGGAAAGAAGGGTGGTTTAAAAGAATGGGGAATCAACCCCTCGATGGCTGTGAATGTCACCAGGGAGCCACCTCGCGAGGGGTTTGGTGGATGTGAATCTCTCACCGAAATGATGTGCATCAACGGGTCCCCTGTCCAAATTCACGGTTGGACGCTGACCGGTGGGGTGCCGGTGGTTTGATGGTTTCCAGGTGTGGCAGTGCCCGACGCAGCTGGCTCAGACTGGCTCAGAGCGCTGACTGAGCACTGAACTTTGTGAGTTTTGTTTGCTTAAAAATGGGGTGACTTCCTTCAGGTTGGTTTCCTTTTGGCTTCACCTTAAGGGACCAATTCCTTTAGGCGGTTGTATTGCCAGTGCCGCATGAGTTGGGCTGGCCTTAAGGAGAGAGTGCGATTTCTCGTGTGTTTGACCCAGGAAGGTGACTTGATGCTGAAGATTCCTCAGTCCATGGGCCAGCCGGCGCCGCTTTGCCGCAAGAAGAACCGCCCGGCGGGCTTACCCCCTGATGCGGTCGCAGGCCATACTTGATGGTGTAGTGTGGTATGGTGCAGCCTCACAACTCATCCAACAAAAACTCCTGCAGGAAACAAACAAAGCAGAATTAGCAGCTGGCAGCGGCAGAACGGAGGCATCACATCAACTTGCGACACGTAGCGGGATTCCGGAGAAGGGTCTTTGATGCTTCAAAGCTCAGCATGCATTTCATAGGTGCGTCATTTACGACTATACACACAAGAAGCCTGGAGCTGATGCATGTGTCACGGCTTGGGTTGGCTCCTCGTTTCCCCCAACCTTGACCCTTGTGTCAGCTCTGGCCAACATTGAGCCAGCCCTCAGGTGGTTGAAGAAGGTCAGCCTCAGTGCAAAGCAGGAGCAGCAGCAGACGCAGGACTCGGTGATTCGGCCCCTTTGGCCATTCGGCACTTGCGGCCAAGATGCTGTAGTTGCCTTTTTGTGAATTGCAGAAACGGTCGCCCACACCGTTCGTTCAATGTCCCACGTTGGGGTTGGTTTTTGTCGTGAGGATGACGCGAAGCGTGCCAGGCTGGGGGTTCGACAGTCAAAGCGCACAAGCACTAGAAGCAGCTTTCTGGATCGCTGCTGCTCATAGGGTCCAAAGGTGCAGAATGCATCACATGTGGTGACATTGCAAACAACTCTCAGACATGTATACACATAATGTGCATGCATACATTGAGCGGAACTGTTGGTTGAGTGATTCGGGATTGGTGAGAACCCCTCACTTTCGCAGTTTGAGGCAGTGCTTCCCTCTATCAGCCTGCTTTACCCGTCCAAAACCCCTGTGGTTACAGGTTGGGATGGCGTCAAGTTGGCGCAGCTATCAATTTCTTTCAGCCGATCTTGACTTCCGTTTCCCCCCATTCCACTGAAACCTTGTTGGCCTTCTGCCTAGCAGAGCATGCTTGTTTGTGTGTTGTGTTTGTTGGTTTGCTTGCTTGTTTGTTGTGTTTGTTTGTTTGTTTGCTTGCTTGCTTGCTTGCTTGCTTGCTTGCTTGTTTGTTGTGTTTGTTGGTTTGCTTGCTTGCTTGTTGTGTTTGTTTGCTTGTGTTTGTTTGTGTGTGTGTGTGTTTGTTTGCTTTTGTGTTTTTTGTGTGTTTGTTTGCTTGCTTGTGTTTGTCGTGTTTCTTTGTTTGCTTGTGTGTTGTGTTTGTGTGTTTGATTGCTTGCTTGTTGTGTGTTGTTTGTTCTGGATTGTTTGTTTGTTTGTTTGTTTGTTTGTTTGTTTGTTTGTGTTGTTTATTGGTTTGCTTGTGTTTGTGTGTGTGTGTGTGTTTGTTAGTTTTCTGGATTGTTTGTTTGGTTGTTTGCTTGTTGTTTGTTGTGTGTGTGTGTTTGTTTGCCGTTTTGTTGCGTTTGTTTTGTTTGTGTGTTTGCTTGTTTGTTTGCTTGTGTTTGTGTGTGTGTGTTTGCTTGTTTGCTGGTTTGTTTGCTTGCTTGCTTGCTTGCTTGCTTGCTTGCTTGCTTGCTTGCCTGCTTGCTTGCTGGTGTGTTTGTTTGCCTTTTGTGTTTGTTTGCAGGTTGTTTGTTTGTTTGCTGCTTTTTGCTTGTGTTTGCATGTGTTTGTTAGTTTGCCGGTTTGTTTGTTGTTCGTGTTTGTTTTGGTTGTTTGTTTGTGTGTTTGTTTGTTTGTTTGTTTGTTTGCTTGCTTGTTTGTTTGTTTGTTTGTTAGTTAGTTTGTTAGTTAGTTTGTCTGTGTGTTTGCGTGGTTGTTCCAGTTGGCTGTCGGTTTGTCCGTCAGTCTGTTTGTTTGTCTATCTGCCTTTCTGTCTGTCTGTTTGTCTATATGTGCTTGCATGCCTGGCTGCCTGCCTGTGTGTCCAATGTGTCTGCTGCCTGCGTGATTGCTTGATTCCTTGTTGCATACAGCTGGATTTAACATTACATACAGCTGGATTTAACATGAACACGTGAGGCCCGAAATGAGAAACCCCGCCTGTTTGGGACGCTTGCGCATACTTGCACAGCCGCAGGCCTGCAGAAGGCTTTTCAAGCGTAAGCACTTCCATCGCCTTGTGAGGGCCCGTGGGTGTACAAACCATCTACGATGTACAGAGGACGTTTCACGCAGCGCACCAATTGGTTGCAATGGCGCTTATTTCCCCCGTGTTTTTTGCTTGAGCATGCGACTGGAAGCCACGGGCATGGCAAGTTGCACCCGGGCCTTGTGTCAAAGCCTAGGGCAGTTTGTTGGAAGATTGATGGATGTAAACTTCAGACCGGTCCAGAGGATCCTGGTCAGTCTGACTAGTCAGCGGCAGCCCCCCCTGAAAAATGACAGTGGGTCAAAATAGGTACGCAAAATGGAACCTTGGTAAATGGAAACATGGACTGACACCTGCGGTCCCTTAGTGGTTTAATTTTCACCCACACCCAAATGAGCATTTCGGTACCAAAAGTAAAGGGGGCCCCCTGATGGTCCTCCAAAGGTGCGTCCGGGGCTTCCAAGCGGCATGCCTAGGCACCGGGAGGACTTTGAGACAAACGAGTTCGGCAGAACGCTTGAAAGGGTTCTTTGTATGGGGTTGTTTTATGTGGTTTGTCACACTTCCAGAAAAAGTAGTCAATGTCCCACTGACGCTGCAGGGCCAGAATTTTCTTGGATCCGAAGCCCTTAGGGATTCAGCATCTGCCTTCCAGGCGCCGGGCGTAGATTTTCAGAGCAAAACTTCGAGGATTTGCCCAAAACTCGGAACTCATGCAATGCTAGCCGTAGTGCTGGATTGTACAGCAGGAATGGCCGTTCCTCCCATGAGGCGAAACTGGAACACGGTTTCCCACTTGCAGTTGCCAAAGGCAGTTGACACCTGTCATTGGAGTTCACATAGGGAGCCGAGGGAGGAAGGCTGGAGATGGCGGATGTGCCATGAATGGCCAGCAATTCTCGGCAGACACTCACAAAAATATGCACTTTTTACACCTTTTTGGGTGTTCTCCCCCAAAACGAGGTGTGGTTGAACGTAGTTTAACCGAGCCGAAAATGCATTGCTCGCTGGGACAGATTGTTCTCATGTACGATTTGCCTTCCTTCGGGCGGAGAGCGTAACGGGAGCGCAAGGGAAAAAGGCGCAGGCGCCGAGCGCCCGGCGGTTTCTGCAAAAACCCTTCCCCGGTTTCTCAAACGTGTGGACCCCTTGTGAATCTGAAGCAGGAAACAACCTGTTTGAATGGGGCAATGTAGAGACTCCACATCAAGGTTCATGCCAAGAACAGCAGGGAACCCCTTCAAAAGCGGCTGGTTGGTAATAAATCCCGACCTACCAAAGGCTTCTTTGCTTGGTATTGGCATCATGGACCAGGCTGAAGTCTTACTCAGAATCGCCAGCACCAATCACACTTGTTTGGGGTCATTCACGCACACATGCGCGCACAAACGCTCATCAAGATTGCATTAAGAAATTGGGGGTCGATCTCAAAGAGGGACTCAATAAATACCCTCCCGCCAATTAGCATGGAACCTGACGTTCGGGGGGTCCTGTTTTGGACCTTTTTCTGTTGAAGGAACTGGGTCCGTGATAGGTTCTGTGTGAAAAGGGTGGGTGGCTTGCATGCCCGAATTGACTTAGGATTCCTGCCTCAAGCCCGAGATTTTGGTGTAACCCCTCCAAGCTGTGAGCCTCCCTTCGCCTCAGGGTAGTGGCGCGAGCGCGCGAGCGCAGTCACCAGGCGAGGCGAACGCCCTCAAAAAGCCGTGCCGTTGCATGTCAAAATGGGCCAACAGATGCTGGTGTCCTTTTGGCTTCCCGTGAAACCAAGCTGACAAGGGAAGAACCTCAACCAAAAAACTGTGCGCCTATCCACAATCCCCAAAGCCAGAGACCTTCATGGGCGAGCTTTACCCGCAGCAAGTGACATGGGCGATTTTCCTTTTTCTCGCGTTCTGGAGCAAAGTTGCAAATGTCTACCAGCAAATGCCTGACTCTATACAGCTAGCACTTCTTTTTGCCATTTTCACCGCAATGTGTTTTTGCGCCTTTGGTATTCTCCCTGCGGCCATCTTAAGCAACGTTCTCGGCAGCAAGCTGTGCGAAGGGTCGCGCTCTGTGCGTGTAGTCCATGTTTACTGAACGTAGCAGTGTGTCGTTTCTCTGCATAGTAATCCTTGTTTGGTTCATGTGTGCAGTGTTGACATGTCATGTTCAGCGATAGTGTCCCCATTTCGCTGAACCCAGG